TGTTAAAATATATTGTTAAATATTTTATTCTTTTTGATACTACGGTGAGTAAAATTGTTTTCTGGATTCTATTTTCAGACCATTCATTGTTAGTATATAAAAATACAACTGATTTTATATTGATCTTGTATCCTGTGACCTTCTTGAACTCATTATTCTATAAGTGTTTGCAGGTTTATTAGTATTTTTTACATGCAAGATCATGTCATCTACAAATAAAGACAATTTTTGTTCTGCCTTTCACATCTGTAAGCCTTTATTTTTCTTGTATTGAATTGGCTAGAACCACCAGTAAAATGTTGACTAGAAGTGATGAGAACAGGTATCCTTAGCTTGGTTCCAATCCTAGGGGAAAGCACTCAGTTAAGTGTAATATTACTTATAGGCTTCTTGTGGATGTTTTTTTATCAGGTTGAGAAAGTTCCCTTATATTTCTAGTTTTTTGAGAGTTTTTATCAGGAATAGGTGTTGGATTTTGTCAAATGTCTTTTCTGTGTCTATTGTTATGATCATTTTCCTTTTCCCTTTATTTTATTAATATGATGTATTGCAATGATTCTCAACTGAGGGGTTTGCTCCCTGAGGGACATTTGGTAATGGCTGGAGATATTTTTGATAAACTGGAGGTGGGGGAGAGGATGCTACTGGCATCTGGTGGATAAAGGCTGAGGATTCTGCTATACATCTTACAATGCACAACAAAGAATTATCTAGCCAAAAATGTCAAAAGTGCTGAGGTTGTGAAACTCTGGTATATTATTACATGAATTGATTTCTTTTGTTAAACCAAACTTGCATTCCTGGGATAAACACCACTGGGTTATGTTCTGCAATCCTTTTACTGCTGAATTTTATTTGCTAATATCTGTTAAGGATTTTTGCATCTCTGTTCATTAGTCTGAAGTTTCTTTTTTTTTTCTTTCTTGTCTTTATCTAGCTTCAAATCAGAGTAATAATGCTCTTATAGAATGAATAGGGAAGTGTTCCTTCCTCCTGTATTTTCTGAGTTCATGTAGGCTTGGCGTTATTTCTTAAAGGGTTTGATAGAATTCACCAATAAAGCTATGTGGGCCAAGACTTTTTTATGTGTGAAGACTTTTTTAAAAATTAATTTATTTAATTTATTTATTTTTGGCTGTGTTGGGTCTTCATTGCTGCACACGGGCTTTCTCTAGTTGTGGCGAGCAGGGGTTACTCTTTGTTGCGGTGCGCAGGTTTCTCATTGCAGTTGCTTCTCTGGTTGCGGAGCATGGGCTCTAGGCAAGCGGGCTTCAGTAGTGTGGTGCACAGGCTTAGTTGCTCCGTGGCACGTGGGGTCTTCCTGGACCAGGGCTCGAACCCATGTACCCTGCATTGGCAGGTGGATTCTTAACCACTGCACCACCAGGGAAGCCCCTAAGTGTGAAGACTTTTAATCACAAATTCAATTTCTTTACTTGATTCAGATTTTCTATTCTTTTTGAGACAGTTGTGGTAAGAATTTGTCCATTTTAAAAACATTTACAAATTTGTTGATGTAAAGTGTTCATAAGGTTCCTTTACAAATACTTTTAATTTCTGTAGGTTATGTAGTGATAATCCATCTTCCAGTCTAGATTTTGATAATTTGCACAATTTTTTTCTTGATCTAACAAATTTTCTAACTAATGAATTTTCTATTTTGTTGATCTTTTCAAGAAGCAACTACTGGTTTCAGGGATTTTTCTCTATTGTTTTCCTGGTATCTATTTCATTTATTTTAATTACGATTTTATTTCCTCTCTTGTGTTTACTTTAAGTTATATTTACTCTTTTCTTTCTAGCTTTTAAAGAAGAAAGCTTAGATGATTGATTTTATCTTCCTATATAATATAAACGTTTAAAGCTATCAACTGCCTTCTAGGCACAACTTGCTACAGCCATTGATTTTTTATATACTGTTTTTACTTATATTCAGTTCAAGATATTTTCTAATTTCGCTTGTAACTTATTTTCTGACCCATAAATTATTTAGAAATGAGTTGTTTAATTTCCAAATATTTGAGAATTTTCCATATTTCTGTTGCTGATTTCTAGTTCCATTGTACTTAGAGAACATATTCTGGGTAACTTGAACACTTTTCCATTTATTAAAACTTGCTTATGGCAAAGAATATGGTCTATTCTTGGAAATATTTCATGTGCACATGAAATGAATGTTTACTCTGCTGTTGTTGGGTGGAATGATCTATAAATTTCAATTAGGTAAAAGTGGTTGATAGTGTTGTTCAGATCTTCTATATTCTTACTCATTTTGGGTTTTCATGTTCTATCAACTATTAAGAGATGGGTATTTAAGTCACTGACTTTAATGGCAGATTTGCCTATTTCTTCTTGCAGTTCTATCAAGGATCCTCTTGATGAATTGGCACCTTTATCATTATGCAGTGAACATCTCTCTGACAATATTCCTTGCTTTGAAATCTTTGTCTGACATTAATACAGTCACTCCAACTTTCTTTTAATTGTGAAGATGGTATATATTTGTTCATTGTATTTGTTTCTATTGCTGCATAACAAATTACTCCAAAATTTAGCAGCTCAAAAGAACACTCTTTAATTCACAGTTTCTGTGGTGTTAAGAAATCTGGGCACAGCTTAGCTGAGTTCTCTGTCTCAAGGTCTCTCATAGTCTGCAATCAAGGTGTTGGCTGAGCTCTAGTCATCTCAAGGCCCAACTGGGGAAGGATCCACTTCCAAGCATACGTGGTTGTTGGCAGGGTTCAGGTCCTGGCAGGTTGTTATTCTGAGGGCCTAATTTTTCTGCTGGCTGTTGGCAGGGTGCTTGCCTCAGATCCTTGCCACATGGGCCTCTCCAACATGGCAGCTTGCTTCATCAAAGCATGCAAGCAGAGAAATCTACTAACAAGACAGAAGTCCCAGTCTTTTAGCCTAACCACAGAAGTGACATTTCATCACCTTTGCTGTATTCTCTTGGTCAGAAGCAAGTCCCTAAGTCCAGCTCGCACACAATGGCATGAATACCGGGAAGCAGGAATCCTTGGAGGCTGCTCCATATCCCTCGAATTTGAGGTTATTATGGGATCCTTTTGAGAATGTCAGTGTTTTCCCGCTCTTTTGCCTTCGCGGAGTTGGAGCTTCTTTAATTCTGAGGTTTTTGTCATAAGTCTGTCTCTATCTGCTGGTGGCACCTTCTCTGGCTTTCCAGCACTGTTAAGCACTATTTCTGTTTTTGTATTTCTTGTCATTTCACCAAACTTTGGGGTGGGAAGAAAAATAAATAAGCTGAGGCACAGGGAGGTGAAGTAACTTCAGTGGAGTTGGAAGAGTCACCATGGTACAGGGAGAACTTTTTATATATAAGTCAAGTGACAAGCCCCTCAACAGTTCTGATTGTTTTCAAATTCTCTTTTGGAAAGGGCACAGCATGTGAACAAAAATGGCCTTGGGAATAAAGGCCTTTTGAAGCCAAATCCTGCAAATTACGAAAGCTGCTCTGGGCAGTAAGCTAGATAGATACCTCAAGAGATAGATATCTTGTGTTGTGGTATTATTCAGGATCTTCTTAGTTATCGGTAATTGTACCTTATATATTTAAATAAAATTAAATTAAGTAGAATAAAAATTTAACCTTTCTTAAAATAATCCAGAAAAAAAAGATAATTCTATAAAGCATTCTGGAAGATTACCCTTCATGCCATTTACAGTGTGAAGACTGCTCCTAGATCTCTCCACTTCACTTTCCCAGCATCTTTTTCTGAGACTGCTCACCCAAATTCCAGCTTTAAGATTGTAAAGTTTTTAAGTCTCCACAATGCAAAGAAAGACCCATTCCTTATCAATAGCCTACTTTAAATCTGGTATAGACAATTTGCAAACATCTCAATCCAGCACTAATTTCTGGTCTTCATTGTTTCTCTCTTAAGTGTTCTTCTGATAACAGAAGAAGGGAAGATAACGCCACATGGCCTCTTAGACACAGTCACACATTTAGGAACATTCCTCTTAATGTTTTACTCCCAAACTCCATTGTTACTAAAATTTATTGTTGCAGAACATTCCTTCACTAAGGCAGTTAATCAAGATTTAACTTGGGAGGAGTTACATGTGACCTATTTTTTCTCCTAAGAGAGGGCAGTTAAGGTACCCCCACAAATGCATCAAAAAGTGAGGTATCTTCTTGTAGACATTTTATAATATAGCATGCTTTCTCAAACTTGGTTCTTGGATTCCTTCTGTATTCACTTACTCTGTAATCTTATGAATGATATATCTGTAATGAATGTCCAAATTAAAAAACTAATACACACTTTCTTGTTTCCTATTATCAGAATGTATTCATCATTTATTTCAGGAAAGCACAGAGATCCTCCTTTGAGTTCTAAGTCAGATTATTATTTTTGAGGAGACACTGACACCCCAGTGTTAAGTGATCAGCAGTTACTAATTTCCATGGATAATATTCTTTTGATAGCAGGAAGAAACATTAAAAGAATACAACATATTTAATAACTAAACTTGGTACTTTAACCAAAGTATTTGCAACATTCTTAGTATAGTTGAAAATCATGACTGCCAGGTTTTTTTGGCTTGTTCTCTACATCTATTCCTAAAAAGAATGTAGGCCTATATTAAGACAGAATTTGACGTTCTTTCACCTTTATTTTACATTATATTTTACTCACTTTATTATAAGACTATTAAGAAAAAGTTTTGATCATAACCTACTTTTACCTCCATCGTATTACACTGGAATTAAATCATATAGAAAAATAATTTTTATTAATATCACCAGATGTATCAACAGCGTGATTTATTTTTAGTTACGTAATGAAAAAAATACTTGGGTGTAGATTTTTTTTTAAACTGATAAACTTGAAATTAATGAAATGGTCATTAAAAGATTTTCAGGTTTTGCTTTTTTTTTTCCTTTTTATAAAAATCAGTATTTAGAATTTCACAGTGAAGAGGTCCTAAATTTCTCATACAACATGAAATTATATAAAAATAGAAGACATACACATCTTTAACTCTTTAATCCTTTGATTAAGCAGCAAGCATATCACTCTTCCAGGCCAAACACTGCTTAAACAAAAAAGAAAAATAATGACGTGCAAAATATTTACAAAATATGCAAAGCACACAATAAAGACATCTCACTATATACATGTGTCATATTACTAATGAAGCTAAGATTTTTCTACTGTGTGCTCTAGTGTACGTAAATCAAATTACAGCACATCCCTCAGATACAGCACCTTTGCCCATGGTTGGGATAGAATGGATTTTAAATGAATCACAATATACTTAACAGCTGGACAGACGCTGGTGCTGACCAACTTGACTCACATATCCCACACACTGTATACTGAAGGTCTACTGACAAGAGACAAGACAATAGAAGCTGTATAGTATGCACATATGCAAGACAATCTAAATACTTTAAAAAATGCTTTAGATATTTTCCTTTAAGATATATAACTGTCCCCATGGCTATTAAAGTAAAAATAAGTATAAATTCTTGAATATTAGGAATTTTAAATCATAAGGTGATCCAATGAGAGAGAAAGAACACATCCTGGAAAAAGTTTTAGATTATGCCAGCAGTTAAGGTCCTTATGGAAAGAAGTGGTCTAAACTTCAAAATTAAAACTAATCAATGGATTTAAGTCAATAGCTCGTTAACACTTTAGAGCCAAAGGTAGGGACTACCCAATATTTGGGGAATATATGACATCTCGAAATATAAACTAGGGCCTTTGATGTTGACCATTTCGTGAAATAGTTCTAAATGTGAGAATGTGAATGTGCAAACATTTAGCTTAAGTTCCACTAGTATAGCAATCTAAGAGATCTGTCCCTTTGCACAGGTCATGATTCCAATATGAAATCACTGTATCAAAAATATTAGTAATACATTGTTGAAATACTATCACTTGTAAAATATTCTTTGTAGGTGCTTAATGATTATGTGTTGAATTAAGAAGACTTGAAATTATTTGTTTCTTTATAAAAGGGGTCTCAGCATTTTAAGTTAACAGCACAATTGTGACAATATACTGATACATCTTTGGATAACACAGAACAAATTCTTAAATTTATTTTATGAAATAATGTTGATGATTTAACCCTAAACCAAACCCAGAAGTACAGGTCAGCTGCAAGGAATACACAAATGCATCCAAATAGTACAATAGAGATTTATCAAGAAAACATCCTTTATATTAAATACAGACCATATTAATAAGTCTGACGGCAATTTAAAGTTCAGAACCTAAACACAAAAAGGGTACTGTAAATAAATGCTTCCATAATCACTATCTCCACATAACTGACAAAATATAATTCTCTTCTAAAGTCCCCAATGTAGGCAACTACTACTTAAAAGCAGATAGCATTTAGAAAGATTAAAAAAAAAATCAAAATTAACTCCATTTTCAAGGAACTTAAAGACACTGTACTTTAACAGATTAAATCCTCATTTATATGTAAAATTATTATTCCGATCCTCTTACTACTGCAAGACGGCAAGTCAATGACCTTTAAGCAAGGACTTTGCACTAGGACCCCTAAACTGTGTGTTAAAGAGTTAGCAGGTTCAGTACATTCTTTGTGGGTTCATATAATTGCTTTGCAATTGATTAAATTGCTTTCTTTTAAAGGAATATATTTAAATTCCTTTAGAAAAAAAGCAAGAGTTTTTGAAAAAAGGGATATGCAGCTATAATTTCTTAAATATGCATTAAATGAACATATGTCAAAATCTGAAATGCAGGCTATCTATTCTTGCACTCCTAACATAGGAAAATGTTAAAAATTAAATTAAAGAAAAAAGAGAAAAAGTCGAACATCCTTAACTTATGAAACTTAAGGAGTTTTCACAATTCCTAAGTCAATATTCCTGTACTAAGAGCCTTGACTATGAAGAGGCAGGAATATAAAGATTCTCAATAAAATAAATACAGTAAAAACAAAACAAAAACCCTCGGTATATAGAATACTTAATCTCTTTTCCTTTAATGAGATCATGTCGCTGAATGTATACTCTAGAAAGGAGGCTAACTGTAGGCTTTCTGTTGTATAACATTTCAGTTGCGTGAACTAAAAAATTTCTTAGGCATCTACTTATGCTAGCCCACTGCCACAGAACTAGTTTGCAGCCTCAGTATCTAGGAAGGATTATTCTTTCTTCTTTTGCATCAGTCAGGTGAGCACTGGTATAATGATGGGGTAAAAAGTTACTGCAGCTCTGTCCAATTTAATCTTAGTGCAGTGAGGACTGTGAATCTGTCTGAATTCCGATAAGTGATGGTGGCTGTTGACCACCAACCGTGGACAACACTGGTCTTGGGTTTAGACGGGGTGGCATAGAATTAGCAGGGCGAATGAGAGGTGGTGGAGGCTGATTTAAAGTTGGCCGGGGCTGGATGAACCGAGCCTGCTGCTGGAGTGGAGGAGGCTGACGGTGAAGAGCAGGGGCAGCAGGCAGTGTTGGACGAAGAAGTGGTGGAGGCTGGTTCAGAGTGGCAATGGGGGCTGTTGGTGTTGGAGTGGATGATGGGGCAGGAGGTGATGGACCCAGAGTCCGAGGAGCCTGTGGGGTCTGTGCCTAGAGGTGAAGAAACAAAAATACACGTATGAGATGACAGTTCCTAATGAACTTAATACAATATAGTTTGGGCTGTCACAGGAAAAACAAAACAAAACAAAAACATAACACCAGTGTTTTTTGGAAGCACAAGCTTCTTTTATTTTAAACAAAACAAAACAAAAAACCAAAAACCGAAAAAGCAACGAAGCTACCAAACAGGCATCTTTATTAGTAAACAGCTTAACACTGGAAATAAAAATAAGACTATGAAAGAACAATACACTCTCCATTCTTCAAGGATCAGAACTTAGCATGTCATTATGACTTAAGAGTCACGAGAGATGCACCACTGAGTAAGTGTATTGTCAACCTTTCATGCTCATTTTGCTAGTCCTCTGACAAATTAACCTTACAGAACACCACACAAAATGGTGATTCCTCAACTCATATTAGCTCAAATTCCATACACAAACACACCTCCTCTTCTTCATCAGTGCTCTTCCCTGATGGCACATTAGAAGCACTTTTTGTCTCCTCCCCTAAAGTAGAAGCATCACCATTAGAAGCCTGGGTTCCTTGTTCTGCTTCCCACTCCTGCAATACCTCCTCTAAGTTAAACCGACGCCTGTAGTTTACAAAGAAGTTCTTCACTTGGCCAACAGTCTTGTTGCCAATTACATCTGCAATAGCTTGAAAATCTTTACCATATTTGCGGACACCTGGAAGGCAAAGTAAATAATACACCTGTGAAGGATCAATAAGGAGAGCTGTGTGTACTATACATCATGCACACACACAAGATACCAGCAATGAAAATCCTTTCTGATAAACTCTGCTCATTTCTCAATTCTGAGATAGAGGCTAAGATATCAGGGTCACAGATGAAAACTATCAATTATGTCATTTCATCGAGCCAGCCACTTGCCTTCAACTGAACAATCAGAAACTTACCATTTTTTACATACTCAGTTATTTTCTCCAATCCTCTCTTGAACTCTCAAATACAGTCCATTTATTGTAAAGCATTGAATTCTTTGTTCCATCCTCAATTCCACATTCATTTATTTCCCTAGTAGCCAGTCACCTAAATTTGAGCAACACCGTTTGTAAACAAAACTGGATGGGAACGAACCATCTCTTTTATCCCCTCAATGGACTGAGTGAGTAGTCTTAGGGTTCCCCCATTAAGAAAAGCATTGTAATTTTGGTCTTAACACCAACTTCAACATAATTACTTGCCTATCTTACCAGGTACCAATGAAGAGAAATGAGATAAGAATTTAAATATAAAAAGCAGGAGAATCATCACAATCTGATGGACAAAAAAAGGGGAAACTATTTTTCAGAGTTTGTTGGATTTTAACTCACCTAACAGTTCTAAGGACTGTATATATGAAGGATTCCTAGATATGCTCTGTAGGCTAAAGAATTAGGGTATAATAGTGACTACTTGTAGATACTTGTGCTTATCATCACTACCTTAAATTTAAGAAGGATTGTACATTCAGTTATTAAAAAATCTAACTTGTATAAAATTATGGAAATTTTATTAAATGAGGGATAATATTTGATTTATGAACTTGAGATAGTCAATTATGCTACAGAGTTTAAAGTGAGTTTATATACTCAGATGGACAATAATTTGCTCTTAAGGGAATTCTAAAAGAAATTCACTGACTCATTCTAGAAAGAGATGCACTTAGCTCAAAATATAAAAGCTGTCAAAATTTTTATTTTACAATTTGATAACTGCTTTTTAAAATACCAGAAAACAGTAACTCATTAATTAGAGATGAGAAAGGAGAAAAAAAAATATTGATGTCTATGATATTAAAGTCTGTAGTTTAACCTAAGCAGCCAGAAATACAGGAATTTAGATAAACTTAACATGTATACAATCACACATAAGAGAATAATATAAGGACATATTAATACCCCAGCAGAAATGCTAGACATATTCTTACTGATAGCTATTTGGGTGATACACCTATTACCTAAAGCACCAGCATGATATAACTCCTGTTCTTAAATTCTGTGCTTATTTTTTATTGAAAACTTGGGAGTAAGTATCTCTTGCTAGGCTTGACTCTATGGGGAGTTCCTTTCTCTTAGAGCATTTTGGGTAGGAGGCCTGACATTATTAAGCTATAACCATATCCCATTGTTAATACAGAGTTTTGAGTTTATAAACTATGCTCATTTGCTCTGTTCTCAAAGGGAAAGACATATGCATGACAACAAAGTAATAATGATACTTAAACACTACTGATAATATTTTATCTTATATTCTTTTACAATATAAATGAATTTATATTCTCTTAAATCCATGAGCTGATTTCCAGTTTGAACTTCATAACTGAGTATAAATTCTAATGGTGACTAGGTTCCACCAAGGGTTTATCTGGCAATAAGAACCCAAGGTCATTTCGTATGAAGAATTACTGCTGCATACTCAAGTACTTCTCTACTACTTGTACTTTGGAAAACAGCAACTCAACTTGAGATGACTGCACTGAAAAACAGATACTAATTGGAAATCACACACAGTGTTCTACCAGTGTACTAATTTTCATGATGGATATTTAATTTACATTCTAGAAATGTCTAATGCTACTGAATACGTGAGCTTAGAAATGAAAACCTTAAATAAATCTAGGATTAGATCTGCTATATTCTTAGCAAGAAGTCACATTAAGAGTAACTCTTGACTCCAAGTCTGACAATATTACAACCCTCCGAACACCCATTTGTTTAGCAAAATATACTCTAAAACCTATCACTAAGCTGTCCCCAAGTCTAACTCCACTATATAACTGTCCCCTCTTCTTCTGACTCTATTTTTTTTTTTTTTTTTGGTCTTCCACTTTATTTTCTCTTGCTCCATAGACCTTGTCACTAATATTGTTGCATTTCCAGAATTGCATGCCCCCAAACCAAAACTACTTCCTATAAGAACTTTAGTTTACCCAGACACTTTGGATTTTCTTCAGTTCACCTAGGTTCTGAGTCACCTAGGTAAGTTTATCATTAACTTGTGTATGCTAGTCTCGCATCAACTACTTTGCAAAGTCTTAAGGCTCAGACCACACTGCAGACTTCTGTAGTCTGGCTAAGGATCTCAATCATGTCCTGAGAATAAGTGGGTCCAGATATTAATGTCTTTAACCTGCAGGATGGCTGGGCCGGGTCTGGAAGAGCTAGAGCTCCTTGGCAGTCTCCTCTGGACAAACAATAGCCTCATCTGTCTGCCTCAGTGTGTTATGAAATTTTTCATAATTTTCTCTGTGTTCCATGATGTGAAAAAAGTTGGAAAGTACTGTCCTATGGAATACAAAGTACCACCAGCATTACTACAACGCAGAGTACAGAGGAAGTGCTCAGGAAATACGACTGATTTTTCTCCTCCATAGGGCTTCATTCTATTATTCTTCCCAAGCTACAAGAGTCACATATGGCTGACTTCTTTATCACTTTCACATTCCCAGTGACGTTGCACATTTTGGCTACAAGGTGGAATTCTTAAGCTCTGTACTATGCCTGATAACTAGTCAAACTCTAGTGAAACACCAAATGAAGACTTAATGGGACTGACTCCTTCCGATGAATCCCCAGGTAGGCTTCTGGAGGTCAGCCTCGCAAGGTAGTGGTGCTGAGCAACCATCTTTAACAACCTATGATATCAGAGCTACTTTGTTACAACTCGTACCTGAGGAAAGGGTGGTCCATTCTTTTTCCACAGTTTATAAAAAACGAGGTCCATCGTATCTCATATTATATCCCTCATAAGAATTGGTGCTAGAATGACTTAGGAAGTTCTTACTACAAAACTTGAAATTTCTCCTTCATTTTCATCATTAAATACTGCAGGTATGAGAATTTTGCTATCCTTTAAAGAATGTTCACCTTGATAAAAATTCTAGGCACAAAAAACACATAAAATGGGAATGCTAATATTAATGACCTTGAAAACCCAAATTTGTATTCTAATGAAGGATCAATTTCTCATGGATTTCTTCAATAAACAGATTTTTTTTTTTTTTTTCTGGTACGCGGGCCTCTCACTGTTGTGGCCTCCCTCATTGCGGAGCACAGGCTCCGGATGCGCAGGCTCAGCGGCCATGGCTCACGGGCCTAGCCGCTCCGCGACATGTGCGATCTTCCCGGACCGGGGCACGAACCCTTGTCCCCTGCATCGTCAGGCGGACTCTCAACCACTGCGCCACCAGGGAAGCCCAATAAACAGATTTTTATGGTCTGAATTATATCCCATATCACAGGCTGAATCAATAAAGTAATACTGTGAGACAATAAGATAGCACAACTATTCCTAATTAGTAACTCTATTTCCTTATGTGAAATACTATCTCTATCACTTTTGATTGACAATTCACTAAAGGTATCAAAAAGTAAACAAGTTAAATCATCTAATCACTCATTATCTCATTATGAAATAACAAATAAATGTAGAATACTTTTAAATCTCTCTAAAACAAAACAAAAAAAAGATTAAATCTCTCTCACTCCTCCTGAAGATATAAAAGGCTTAGGTCCATCTGAACCACGGTTTTAAATTAAATTTGTGACCTTTAGGGCAAGAGGTCAGTTTTCAAAGGTGAGTGGGAAAAAACTTAAGAGAACCCCAGAAGAGGGAAATTAAATATTTCCCAGGGAGAGGAAAAAATTGTTTTCAGTAAAATTTCTAAATTTCATTTCAAAGTTACAGTGAAACAACATGGCTTCTACACTGGCAGATGAAACGGTATAATCTTTACAATATATACTTTTAAAGTTTTGTTTGGGAATTAATATAAAAATATAACTCATTAGGATATTGTGTTATCATTATTTTATTTTCCAACCAGTGTTCTATATTACCCAACCAAAAAACAATTTGTATTTTTAGAGCTTTGGGTAGTAAAATAGTAAGTTCAGGAGCATTTGTAATATGGTGTTTCCCAATTCTGGACATGGTATTTAGACGTTTTTTTATTTTGACAGAAAGGATATCATAAATCTGCTTTCAGTACGTTTAAAAAGTTATTTTTAAAATCTTATTTTGGACTCCAAAAAAAACCCAAAGCCAATATTACAGTGACAAGCTACTTCTAGATATAGGTAATGAAAATCTGGGGGATATTTTTTCCTGCTTCTTGCACAAATGTCTTAAAGTGAGCATGTACTTAGTATAATTGGGAAATATTAATTTTTCAAACATCTATTTTTGAAGTAAGAATACAGTGACATCTAGAAACTCCAAGGATATGGTTCTTTCCTATCAATAAGAGGTTAATTTTTAACTCAAACCATTCAGGAACATGCATTTCTTTTCACCTCCTGTAAATCTTGTCAAGAATTCCTAGTAAAGAAGGTAAAAAAGATATCAACAGCAGTGGGACAGTGATTGGTGCATCTGGGCAATGGCTAAAAGTCAAAATCATATATTCTCTTTCCAATGTCTAGCCTTTCTCTTCTGAAGCTTCCCATCTTCTTGCTACAAGTTAAATTCCATCCCCAAAATGCTGGGAATTTTGAATCATTAATTATCTGAAGCAAGTGCATCAGAGGGTTGACAATTATACTTTTGGGCCTCCATTCTTGTGATATCAGTTATAAGAGAAGAAACTCTCTAATGCAAACAGATAACTTTTAGATGGAAAAGTATGAATCTATCTCCACCTCCTTTTGATCATTCATGTACTGAGGATCATGTAAGGATCGTTACAATCCTTATGCCTTAATCAATAGCCAAATCTCTTTCCCCCCCGTACTTTAGGGACCATTCTAGCTTTTTTTAAAGTAGGAGATAAAATTAGGAAGAAGACAATTTCTAGACTTGCAACTTCATTGCTCCTAAAAAGGAATGAATGTATAAACTATAGAGAGAGAAGGTAAATTTTTTTTTTTTTTGAGAAGGTAAAATTTAACTGTAAGCATAACTCAATTGAACACAGTTCTGTCATTTCCTATTTTATATGAGAAGGCAAGTAATATATAAAAAAAAAACTAAAAATTAAAGTTGATGCCTTGATAAAATTAGAAAAATTTTTTGTTGTTTATCCTAATATAGCACAAATATTGTAGTTGGGAAGCATATTTTTTTGTTTGTTTTTTACCACTAATGACTAAGAAATGAATACATTTAAGAGGAGACATAAAATAAAAATGTCAAACATTGTATACCATGCTTCTGCTCCTATACACTTTAAAAAGCAGATGTTTTGCACTATCATTTAAATGTATTGTTACTTTTTGAAAACAGATAATAATTGTTCCATTTTACATGAAAAAAAAAATACACCTAGAATCTAATTCTTTTCTTAATTCTTGCTTAATAAGGAATGTTTATCATATGAATATCAAGACTGATTTTAGGATAATTTCTAAAAGCACCATAGATTAGAAAAAAATATTTATATATATGACATAAGCTACAAACAGGGGTATTTCACCATTAACACAAATATGTGAAGACTATAACTGGTCTTACTGTTAACTAATTTGTTATAATAGAAAATTTAGATACTCAAAGCTGAAACAGATTACAGAAATTGTAGAAATACCATTCTTGGTAAGTATTTTAAGAGGATTAAATTAAATTAAAGCAGCATTTATAATATCCCACTTGGGGACTCTCGAAGAATGCTACTGAAGTTATAACATAGTTAGAACTAAAATCAACATAATAAAGTGATAGATTACACAAGTAAAAGCAGACATTCCTATCTGGTCTGAGCATGATTTCCCCCCCTTCCAAATAAGGGAGAAAGAAGGGGAAATGGCTTATTTATTTATTTAAATAGTTGTTGTTAAAATAATATTTATTTACAATTTAAATGGCTAGTACTTAGTTAACAACAATATGAGCAGATGGAAGTGGGAAATATATATTTAAGCCCTAGGAAATGATCTTAATATACTTATTTGGTTTTCAGAATTACAACAAAAAGTTTATTTAATAGTAGAGTTATAAATCTCACTCGTGACACTAGAGTCAACATTTCTCTCTCTAGGTCACTGTAATGGTCAACTATGAGCAAGATAAAATAAAGCATTTAACAAATGAATGTCAAATCAGAATCTATATGTAAAATGTCTTGAATAGACAGTTCTATATAAATTAAAACATGTTAGTATCAAAACATAAATGATTTGAAACTGAAGTGGCCAGAAGAATAATATCATGTAAAGGCTTATCATAAATAAAGATTAAAAAGAAGAAGAAAAAACCAAAAACAATTACCTGCTAAGATAAGTACTTCTGGATTACACATGTTAAAATAAAAAGTGCAATTGTGTACCTTAACCACACTGAGACTCAGGTACAGGTGACATTACTATACGATTATACTGTTTATAAGACACACTTTTGAGTATTATATAAATACATGGGCACATGAAGCAAAGATGGTACTTTTTAATTCTCCCTAAAATAACTATTTTGGACACAAATAGCTTAGCTTTGTTTTATTTTATATAACAAAAACAAAGACAAAACCCAAAACAAAACCCTAAAAACTCAAAGTGAAAATAAAAATTTCCCACACAGAGTCAAAATAAACATTTAAATAAAAACGAAGACATTAACATACTAAGAGAGTGCTTTCAAAATCCTAAGAACATGAATCTTTCCATACAAATTGCTCCATTAGTGTAATTTATTTAAGGACTACTTTTTAAACGGGCATAAAAATATGACACTGAATATCCCTCAGGAGAGAGGAAATGTTTGATTATTTCTATAAATACTCCATTCTTGTAATATTTATAAGCTGAAATAATGTCCACATATATAGCTCAACTCCATATGTAAATCTTTCCATTGTCCTTCTCTTGAATGCAGCTTTTCATAATATCCAACCCAGCCATAAGATTCAATGGATCCTACCACTTAAAGGAGTACTGTAGAACAATATCAAATCCTGATTCTGTACATACAGAGAAAGATTAACCCAGACTTCCTTGCCGATTCTCTTAAGAAAACCATTTCACTGGGATAATTTCTTATATGAAGAGTACAGGATTAGTATACTAACCTTTAAGCAATGAAATACTGGAAGACGGGGTTAAATTCTATAGGCTACTCTGATGAAGGGAAACAGTCAAACCATCAGTCAAACCAATGCCTACTCAAATAACTATGTTAGAGCCATAAGACATAATTCTAAATAAATATGAGACAGCCATTGAAAATACTAATTTTTTAATCAAAAATTTAAATTGTCAGTTTTTAGTTTTAAAACAGCTATTGTTGAACATTATAAACTAATTAAACTTTGTTCTGACTCATTCAGAAACTTAATTCTACAATTACAGATGTGCTCAATGCACATCCAGCACCCTGCCTCCATCAAATCAAGTATTTCTATTTATGAAATGACTGTATACCAAAGGGAAGGCTGACATTATCCTGTTGGCACCCTCCTGTGACATTTTCAAGTCACACTGGGTGAGTAATTCTTACTCTAATTCAAACTGCAGAGTCATCTATTAATCAATCTTTAACTACATTATTCTCATATCCGAATGATACTTGCACAACATTTTTGAGTTAAATATTTTCTCTATGTTTGAATACTTGGAACTATTTTTAAAGGTATATGTTTCACTGGGGCCCAACCCTCTTATAGTAGTTAACCTAGACAAAAAAGCTATTAGTACTCAATACAGAGGGCTCAGCCAGGAAGAAACAAATTGTAAACCAAACTTAAATCACACAGTCAGTCCTGCAGATAGTTCATCTTGAAAGGGAAAAAAATCTACAACACTGAATTAAAACATACAATATGCCCTTCTTTAAGTAATTCAAATACAAGAAAATCTAAGATTATAGTGCTTCCAATTTGCCCATGGGTATTCATATTACAAAAGGTTTTCTGCCATACAATTCATACAACAAAGCAGTCTTATAAATAGTGCATTTAAAATTGTATGTGTAGATACATATATCTTAAGTCTCTCTTTTGTATAAATAGACATATTTAAAGTCAGGTTTTGAAGCATTCAGTGGCATATCTCTTAAGTAAGTTATGGTACACTGAAGGTAAAGCATATCATTAATATTTTCAGTACCTGACATTTATCAAATACAGAGTAATCAGGGAAACCAGAAACATAAATTAGTTTATGCTTTAAGTAATGAGTTATTGACTGATACAGTAAGAATGAACCCAACTGCAGGAATACTGAAGTAGAGGCACGGAGAGACCATGACTTGTTCAAGCTTGTCACCACCATCATTTATTTAGTGCTGAGAATGCATTGCATGCTGTTCAGGACCCAAAATGCACACAGGCTCAGTATGTCACATCCACAAGTACAAAACAGAATTCATGGTCACCAGGACTTTGTGGTGAACACAAGACCCCTTTCTTGATCCATTTCTAAAGGAAGGGAAGAACTATGGTAGTCACCTTTCATGACAAGTTAAATAATTATTAACAACAGTAACTGCTTATCTTTAATATACCTTGCACTGCTAGAAGCTGCTCCTCTGTGGTCCAACGGGCATTAATTTTCTGATTTGACTACAAAATTAAAGAGAAGTTTCCTAATGAGGATATGAAGACAGACATTTTTCCAAAGTGCTTATTTTTTTTAAACTTTTCACCAAATCACAGACAAGAGATTACTAAAACTCTGATTTATGAGGATTTCATTTTTATAAGAATTAAAAAATATATTCTGAATTACCTTTTACCAACACAAAAAGATAATGAAAGGGAAATGTACCATTTTGGGAGAATGAACAACATTCGCACTTATACTCTAGGCAGAGATATCAAAACTGAGAAAATCTATTAATCGCCTGTTTTCCAACTACAATGTTCCTACCATACGTTGCAGATGTTAATTTTAGCCTAGTTTTAAACATTTAAGAGACTTCGTTTTCTTCAGAGAAGGATCTGTGACTCTCTCTAAAATTTCTTCTCTTCATATTTAGATTAAACCTATCCTCACTCCATCAAAAACAGTGTTGCATAAATTACCATAAAACTGTAGATCAGGCCTATGCCCTAGAATACTTCATTTCTAAAGCAGAGAGTGACCCACTATAAGAATAGATTTCCCCCCCAAGACCTCCTACATTCTTTCCAGTATTTTTGTTTAACAAATTTCTAAGTTTAAGATTTTTACTATGGCAGCATTACAATATCAATTAAACAGCTAACCAAATTTCACTAGTGTATACCCACTGCTGAGTAATCAAGAACCTGTGGCAGTAGATGGAGGGACAGAAATAAGCATACCGGCTTACAGAGGTTTGCAGTAGAAACTGCCCAGATAAAGTGGCCAATGTAACACACGCACATGCTGGGCAAAACAGTAACAAAGGCTTCCTCTGAGAAGGGTGTTTAGGTCTTATCTCACTTGTAGTCTTAGCAATAAGAGTTTCCACAGTACACAGCAATTCTGGGTAACACCAACTTTCTCACCATGAATGAAGAGGTATAAGCAAGCATTTGGAAGAAAGAATGAAACAAAAATTCAAAAAAAAATTAGGAGAGAAGAAAGAAAAAAGTAAAAAAAAAACACCTATAGTAAAGGAGGAAAAAACCTAAAACACAAAGCACTGAATTCCAGATGATGAGATTATAAAGGGATAGCAAGGCAGGCCAGGCAAAGCCTGGATAAGCCTCCAGATTAGGATACTGGTGATAAGGTAAAGGAATAACAGTAAACAGGCAAAGAGAAAGAGGGGAAATAGGACACACAGAAGCAGTAATAAGGGTGAACCAAGGCTAAAAAAGTGAAAAGAAAAAGGAGATGACAGAGGAAAAACTAGCAATTAATCCCCCAAGAGGAGTAACAAGAATGAAGTAGGAGCTAATATTTAAGTTAATACCCAGGCAATCTGATGCTACCGTGGCTGTGACAGGTAGACAGAAGAGGCCCTTGGTACCCAAGGATAATTGGTACTGGAACCTATTTAAAACAGGTCCAAGTATTTCAGAGTAAATGGTTAAAAAATAAAGGGTTGATTGTAACTTGATCTGAAATATGAAACTAAAACTTAGGAAAATTAGCTCAGTAAAAAATAGTCACTGATTCCACTTACATGCTTTAATTTTATTTTTTGGCATACCTCTTCTGACTATACAATGGTATAACATTCTCTAGCTTTGCAATTTACAACATGAGCATAGCATATAGGCCATTTTTGTTTTGAAGACTTCAACAAATTTCTCTTAATTCTTTGAAACCCCTCTTAATTCTTTGTTACTCAAATTATTCTTTTTTAAAGTGCTTGTCTCAGTCACCATCCTCTTTTTTTCCATTGTTAATTCTGCTAGATACCCATTTGTCAACAATTTTGCAAATGATTAAAGTCATTCTTGTGTACTTTCATAGACTTCATGAAGTTTCACATCTTTTGCAAGGCTTACAATTTCATTTTGTATTTGCTTTGTATTAGCAAGAGAGTAACAGAGAAGGATGTTGCTGTGATGGACGGGAAGGACAACAGCTAGAGTTAATTAGGGAGAATTGGTGAATAGAGCCTAATTTTACAGGTGCTCAATTCATTAGTGAATATTTTCTTATTTGGCAACTTTTGCTTCTCCATGTATCCCTTAGATTAATGAACATTTGGATACTAAGGATCTCTTGTAATACTACATTGCAAGTTGTTCTTAGGATTAAAGTTAGGATACATGTAGAACATCTAGCACAGTGCCTTAGCAGCAGAAATTGATCAATCGACGTTTGTTAAACCTGAAAGGCATAAACTGGAGGAAAAGGTGTCGTTAGTGAAAAGAGAATAAAAGGTGAAAGAGAAATAACAAGCACTATGAAGACTTATTTATCAGTTTACAAGCATATCAGGAGATGGGATGAAGACGAATAACTATTATTAAAATTAAAAAGTACAGAGTATACTGGGGATTCAAAGATGAGAGGGAAAAGTCAAAATGATTAGAATAGGGAAAATGGAAAGTTGAAGGGACTGGAGTCTGAGATGGGTTTAAGAATAGGAGAAGTTTCTGAAAGGCAAAAATGAGGAGAAGGCATACCATGACAGGGAATAAGAGGATTTTTGCCAGGAAGAAGTGATAAATAAGCCTGGAAGGTTGGTGATACTTAACTAAACCAAAATACGGTAAGGACCACTTTTGGAAGTGCCATAAAAACCACAAGGTTGATGAGTTCATACTAGATTTAATAAGCAGTTGTGCTGGGCGGGGGGTGGGGCGGTAAGGAGCAAGGAGAGAAGGGTAGGATTATGAGCAGAGTAAGACTTTAAGCCTAGAAAGCTGGGAGAAGGGTGATGCTGTTAAAGATTTAGGATTTGGGAGATGTGGGAAGACAAGGCTAAGATGAGGAATTTAACTTGGGATACACTGAAAAAAGGTATTAGGCAGGAGGCTAAAACAGATTCATCTATTCAAACACTTTTTTTTTAAGTGTCTGGAAAATGTTTATGAGGGAAAACAATGGAGTCATCTTACTAAAACCAGCCTGTGATTTTTTTTGTTTTTTTTTCTCTCCCCAAATTACTCTTGAAATGTTCTTACAAAGGTAGCCACGGAGACAGGCACAGTCTCTCAAAAAGTCCACATAGCCAATTATTCCTCCAGCATTGGAATGGGCCACTAGTTTCTCAGTTAAATCCCAGATGAAGCCTGTGGCTCGAATTTAGGATAGTTCTGAATGAAAAATATAAATACTTATTTAAATACTAGAATATCGCTCAGTTCAAGGAAATGCTCAGGAGGCATATGGAAGCTAAAACTGACTAAAGGAATGGTGGATTTACAGTTTCCAGCTCATAACTGCTCACTCTGGGGTATACACTCAATAAATGGAGTTTAGGCAGAATTGCCAGTACTACTGCATTTGCTATTACTAAACATACTCTTTTTTATTTGGCTGATAGCTATGGTTGAGTTTATGTCATTTAAATGTACATATGATATGACTTTAATATAGCAAAGTGATGAGACTGTATATTTCCAAACAGAAGAGAAATGCATTCTGAGGATAAAAATTTGGAGAATGTCTTTATTTATGTAGAGAAAGAAAAATTACGGCTGAGAAGGGAAAATAATAGTTATAAAAGAGAACATAACTTCTCAAAAGTTAGAGGAAGAAGGAGGTCATCACTATGTGAAGGGCTCAGAAAAAGGCAAGGGAAATGAGTTAGAGCTGTGGAATTTGGTCATTAGCACCAATATTAATCTTTAAGAAGATGCTTTAGTGGAAAAATGCAGAGGGGGAGTTGAAACTGTATGGGATTTAAAAGTCTATGTGTTACAAAGTGGAAAGAGTGGAAGAAAGGGAACATTATAGGAGAAAGAGAATCAACATTTAAAAAATACAAAGGATTCCTTTAAGTTACTGATTTTTATATTTTAGACCCAAGAAACTTTGGTAGAGATTTGTTTAACTTAAGGAAAGGACAACTAGACTATATCTAGGAATCTAAAACTGTGTGGTAGTAATGGTGAGCTATGAGGTACCACTGAGAATATTCTTTTGCAGCAAACCCCAGTCTGAAATACTGTTGTTTTAAAAATAATAAAATATTAATATAAAACAATCCAGTATATAATAGTAACGATGATAATGTAGAAGGCCCCAAAGAGCCATCTAGAACAATCTATGACATCCTTAGTGAATTCAGCATCTTTACTACATCCTTCCCCTGCTAAACTGTCTTCACATCTTTCCCATTTTTGTCAGTAGTGGATTCATACTACCTCTGACTTGGAAGAGTTAGAAAAGGTCACCGCTACTCAGTGTTGAAAATTCCATCCAACATCCATAATGAAAGGATGTCACACACCTATGCATGAAAATACCCAGACTGGGAAATTTTTAGCTTCAAAAAGCACTCCTTTTTCAGTTTCTTCCTTCCTAGATTCATTAATCTCCTTGCCCCCCACTTACCTCCTCCCACAACAAATCAAAGCATAACCAAACATACCACCGCTCCCCACAACACTCTCACATACTTTCCAGGAGATACAGTAACCTCTACTTTGCAATGTTCTCTAGATTTATCACTTGCTGTCCATTCCTACAACTAATACCTGACACTACCCAGTACCCGTTTACCATTTACTTCATCACTCACATGCTTGGTATTTTAGCAGCTCTAACGTTTCTAATGTATCTTGTAAAACACTGCCAGGATACCTTTTCCAAAATAAAAATTTTGCATTACATCCTTCCTAAATTGAAGAAGCTATAGGGCCTTTCCATTTGACTTAATTTAAAAGGCAAACTTCTCTTCCTAGCTTTCACAAAGACTTTGTTTTCACAGTGTTCTTGCCCACTGACCTCTATCACAAAGAAGTCCCTGTTAAACTCAACCTTATTAACATCTCTCATACACCCTGTGCATTCATCCTCTGCAACCAAGTTTGCCTTCCCAAGTAGACAATATGCTTCTTGAGAAAACATTGTTTTATACTTCCACTGAATTCTCAATAGTAATTAGCACAATAATGAGCACATAAGAAGTGCTCAGGGAATATCCAGTGCTTTTATTTTTCCCCACTGTATTTATATTTTGAATGTACTGCTCAACACCAAACCATTGTTCACGTTATTCCCTTCACCTGCCCTTTTTGTATGTGCAAAACTCCTACTCATCCTTCAAACTTCAGCTGAAACTTCCCCCTCTAGGAAGTCCTCCCTGATTACCCTAGCTGGAATGAATAATAGCCACTTGTTTTCCTAAGATCTTTACTTATAAATCTATAACTTTAATCAGTTTGTCTTATAATATCTAGACTATAAATTCTTCTTTTAAGAAGTAGATGGAAAAAATCTATCCTTCCTCCTTTTTAGGTGTCGCCTCTTCCCCCCACACACACTGCCTAATGCAGTGCCTTACATGAAACAGGTGATCATAAATACTTAGGGAAGTGAATGGACTTTCTTCACCAATATTTTCCCTAAATCAGTGAAAATAACAAATACAACCAAATGAATAAGTAAGCATCTTAGTAACTGTTTACTTCCAGTTGAGTTACATAATTTAGTAACCTATTGTTTAAAAGGTTAATAAAATTCTTTTATTAGGGAGAAATTTTTTAGGTTAGGTACCAGCTAACCTAAAGGTAAGGGGATAGATTACATGATTTTTCAAGGTCTTCAATATGACTGTTAATCTAGTGTTTTGAAATGTATCTATTCAGGTTGCTCTCCCCTGTAAAGCAATAGGAACAATATGATAAATATAAATATATCCTGGGCATTTTCTAGATGATAAAACATATATACATTTTTCAAGTCATGTGAGTTCAAAATCAACCTCAAAGTAATATATAAACTTCAGTGTATGGATTGCAGTGTGTTAAGATTTTGATTGTTTCATTTTGATCATTATTTTTACAATAAACCAAGAGATATAATAAATGATAACTTCTAAACCAGTAACTGCATTTATTTTTTTAATATTTTTTAAGATTTTTTTTTTATGTGGACCATTTTAAACTCTTTATTGAACTTGTTACAATATTGCTTCTCTTTTACGTTTTTTGGCCACGAGGCATGTGGGATTTTAGCGCCCCGACCAGGGATCGAACCTGCACCCCTGCATTGGAAGGTGAAGTCTTAACCACTGGACTTCCAGGGAAGTCCCCCAATAACTGCATTTAAATGTGAGACTCTAATATACACTTTTACTATTATATGAAAACTTCCAAAAGTAAGAGGCAGCATGGCATTAATCTAGGACAGCATGGCATTAAACTGGACTCTAAGCATCTGAAATACAGTCAGAGTTTCACTATTTACTAGATGTGTGATCTTGATCAAGTCAGTTAATCTCTCTGAGGCCCAACTTCCTCATGTAAAATAACAGCATTTACTTCATCTACTTCTTTGGACTTACGCGATTATCAAAAGAAGCAGCATATAGGAAAGTTATAAATGCTATTGTACTTTCACATCTTACTTTATATAATGTTAGTGAATGAGACTATTCTGCAATTTTCTGGAAAATTTGAGATTAGAATTTTATTTCCTTGAAAATTTGGTAGACTTTTTCTGTAAAGTTCTCTTGGCCTGCTGTTTTCTTATGAGAAAAAATGTTAATTGTTCCTTCAATTATTTAATGGTTATAAATTATTCAGTTTTCTTTCTTTTTAAGACACTTTTGGTAAGCCATATTTTCCTAGGAATTTCTAAGTTTTGTTTAAATTTTCAAACTTATTGGCATAAAGTTCTTCAAGATATTCCCATAATGTTTTCAACATCTGCTATATTTTTTTATTTAATTTTAAATTATAAACTCATAGGCATTTAAAGTTTTTTGCTTTTATGCATTTTATAATGCATAACTAAATATTAAATTAATTCCAATACAAAATTTAATTTTTTGTCGCAATAATATAACATAAAATAAAGCAGTATTCTTTGTATTACACTATCTTTATTTAAATATCACTAGAATATTTGTCAGTTTACCTGGGGGTTTGGAATGAGATATTAGTCTACATGTATTTCATTCTTTTCCATTGCCTGACCTTCTTGAAAGAGACTATTCAAAACAAACAAAAACAACTTCCTTCATAATGATTCTTCCTTTCTGAAAGATTCTAATGAGTAAGATGGCATATGAAGTACTACTCTTCTGCCTCCCCCCATCCCCTCATACATATTTCCTTTGTAGATATTTCAGTCAACCTGTGATTTGGGGGAAAAAAACATCCCATTAAGACCAAGTAGGATTATTTGATTATTACATACATAGAAAAGTAAGTCCAGGATATGAAGCATAACACAGGAGTCTTAAAAAAGAGAGAAAAAAGAGAAAAGACTTTATAATAGAAGCTTCTGTAAAAATATTTGATTGGATTTTATGAGCATTTAAGTACATCCTTAGTCATCACAAATATAAAAAACATATTAAATTTTAGCTGAAGTACAAGTAAGACTTGAGAAAATGGCCAATCTATATCTTGTTTTTGGATTTTATATTTTCCAGGATATGAGTACAAGAATGTAAGTCCACCTACTAAAATCCTAATTGGAACCCTGAGCCAAAATCCAAATACACAAAATTAAAGTAAAATTTTGTTAAAACTGTTAAAATCAGCTCCTTTTCTTGTGATCTTTTCTTCCTGTTACCAATTTACACAGGTAGGAAAGGGCTTTGAACAAACACTGCTCTAGACCTAAAAATACCCTGGCTTGTTCATTAATGACCTTCTAGTTTCACATGCACTGGGCCTACTAGTATCGCTATTTTCCCTAATTACTTTGCTTGATAAGAAGTGCTAAGGACAGGGACGAAATGATTTAATGTAAATCATTAGCCAAGTCTCAAGAGAGTAACTATCTAAATGACAAAATAGAGACATAATAAATTATCCATATTATAAAACCTTCAAAGTATTAACATGTAACCAAAATAGTAGTTGAACACTGGATAACTCAAAGAACAAGGTTTCACTGTACTTAGCACATGTACTCCTCAATAACATACCTCAGGAGGTTTGAATTCTTCAATTCCACCTTCCATTTTCTGTTTAAGTGCACTGTTTACTTGCTTAGCATTCTGAACCTTCAACAAAATAACCCAAAATATGAATCAGATCATCTACTTAGGTGAATTTTTGAGTATTCAATAAGTGAAAAGGATATATATCAACACCCTGTTAAACTGAAGTTCGTGAGGATAGGACACTTATCACACTTAGTGTGTGATACAACACTCATTCAAGTAATATACACATCAACTGTATACATATCTAACAGACTCATAACTGATAGTGTTTGAATATCTGAAACAACGTCTCTTATAATCCAAGACAACTGGTATATATAGGGATTAAATTCCACCAATATTTCTCATTACCATAATGCTTTGGTCAAATAACAATTATTCTAATAAGAATAGTAATGATGACAGTGGATAATATTTGTTAGGTGTTTATTATGTGAAGCATCATTGCCAGTGCATCATATGTAATAAATCACTTAATTCTCATAACTACTCTGTGAAGTAAGTACAATCAGTTCTGTTATAACCTGACATATGCATTCTCAAAAGCCACTGTACTAGGCAAAACTGCACAATAAAAACCACAGGGCTTATGGGGAAAAGGAGCTTGGGACACAACACTCAAAAACTTCATCAGTGACACGTAAGACAGACACCTAATAAAAATGATAGCACAGTTTTTATACATTCAAATAATAAAGAAATTCACAAGCGTTACAATAAAGATGATACTTTACCTTAAAAGGTTGCTTACGTAAGTAGGTGTCAAAATAACTGCAATTTGTGAGTCATTGGGAAGTGGTTGAAGAAGGGTTATTTGAAAACAGATTAAAAGTTTTAACAGCAGATGTGGATGTGGATGGCACATAACACACAGTGAACTGAGGTAGCTGGTATACATCTGAAGTGTGTGGGCATGTACTCAGCAAGATGTAGTTTTTCCCTAACAAAAATCACATGTAAGCAAATGCAAAAGTCACATTATGTTCAAACTGTTCCCTAGTATATCAACTGTGTTGGAAAAAATTCATGTTTTCAAAACAAGCATTATAGCAGAACTGACTATTTCTATTGTAACAATTTAATGATGAGGAAGGTAAGGTACAGAGAAATTAAGAAACTCCCAAGGCTATAGAAATAGGAGGTAGAACCTGATTTTGAACCATGCCAAGTTTGAAACTACTATTCCACTAGCAATTTAGTTAATCTCTACCTAGAATATTAAGGGTTAGGATTTTTTGTTTGTTCATTTGTTTATTTTTTTTCTATTTTTGTTTTTCCGGTATAGACAATCTGATATTTATAAAGTGATGTGCAAAATTTTTTTTCACCTGAGATCTTAAAAACAAAGCTAAAACGTATAAATCTAGGTTGGTTCAAATGAAGTTAATTGATCAGCCATGTTAGATAGATATAAAGAGATAAAATGTGAAGTCTCAGTTTTTAGGGATTTCATAGATTAGTGGGGAGATAAATAAATATAAAAGTATGATAAGTGCTAAAACACCTAACGTAGTCTTGGAGAGAGAAAGAAGAGAGTAAGTGTGTTTGCATGTGTTAGCAGGTGTGGATCATGGGGAAGATTAGGGAAAGTTTTCCAGAGGAGATGACACCTAAATTGAGTTTTAATGGATTAATAACAATGAAGCAGGTAGACAAGATTGTGGGGAAGGAATGTCTTCCAGGCAGAATAGCATTAGAAAGACATGACAGCCCTAAAGCAGCAGCAAGCAGTTAGGCTGGGGCCAGACCAAAGAATTTGAATCTTGCCGAGATTGAAGGAAACCTTAAGCAAGGGAGCGACATAACCATATTTCACTTCTATAACGATAATTCCAGTAGTAATCTGGAGAACAGAATGGGGTGAAGAAGATAGAAGTTAATGTAACAATCCGAATGAGAAACGTTGAGGACTTCGATTTAAACAGTAGAAATGAAGGGGTGGCGGTGGCTGTGGTGCACAGAGATGGGTTAAGGAATAACCTGGAAACAAAATTAAGACGTCTTTGTAAACAACTGATTGTGGAGAATTAGGGAGGGGGAGTAATCAAGGATAACTCTTTGGTCACTGGTTTGAGTAACTGAGTGTACGTGGTGCTATTCACCCAGACAGGGAATGCAAAAAGAGGAACAGATACCTTGTGGGCACGGAAGAATTCAGTCTGGACGCTGCTTATGAGATGCGTCTGGGATATAAAAGTGGTAGAATTTGCAAATCCAAGAGTGCAAATCTTTACTATGTTACACATCAAACGAATATCCAAGAAAGGAACTTAAAGCTTTAAAAAAGTTCCTTTGTAAAAATCAATAGGACTTCCCTGGTGGTGCAGTGGTTGAGAATCCGCCTGCCAATGCAGGGGACACGGGTTCGAGCCCTGGTCCGGGAAGATTCCACATGCTGCGGTGCAACTAAGCCCGTGTGCCACAACTACTGAGCCTGTGCTCTAGAGCCCATGAACCACAACTACTGAGCCCACACACTGCATTTACTGAAGCCTGCACGCTCTAGGGCCCGTGCTCTGCAACAAGAGAAGCCACCGCAGTGAGAAGCCCACACACGGCAATGAAGAGTAGTCCCTGCTCGCTGCAACTACAGAAAGTCTGTGTGCAGCAACGAAGACCCAACACAGCCAAAAATAATAAATTAAAAAAATAAATTAATTTAAAAAATCAATAAAAATAGTCTTAAGTGAGGTAGTAGTGAAGTAGTAGTGTTGAGGATTAAGTATGATTACAGGTGACTGAGTACATTTTATTCCTTCATTACTTAAAAAAATTCTGCGAGGGCTTCCCTGGTGGCGCAGTGGTTGAGAGTCTGCCTGCTGTTGCAGGGGACGCGGGTTCGTGCCCCGGTCCGGGAAGATCCCACATGCTGCGGAGCGGCTGGGCCCGTGAGCCATGGCCGCTGGGCCTGTGCGTCCGGAGCCTGTGTTCCACAACGGGAGAGGCCACAACAGTGAGAGGCCCGTGTACTGCAAAAAAAAAAATTCTGCGCACTTTAAAAATATCACAGGCAAAGTGTTTCAGAAGTTCTCTAAAGAGAAGGAGTGCTGTGGGTTGGAAGATGGGAGTCTTGCACACAAGTATGGTTCGACTAAAGGCAAAGCATTCAATCAAATATATACTATATACATACTTGAGAGTCCAGGGTCATATAAGTCAAAACAAAGGAATTCTAAGAAGGAAGAAGTGATTGTCAAAAGAGATAAGAACCAAGAAGAGGGCATTAGACCTGGCAACTTGTTCATAAACAATCTTAAGATAGCTTTTTCAGTGACAGAATTGCGATGGGATGTAGGGCAGAAATTAGATTGGGAAGCCTCTGAGAATAAGTGGTAAGAAAGCAGGGTAAGCTAATGTGATAGATATTTATTCAGGAAGTTTGCTGGAGAAGAAAAGAGAAATATAAAAGCAGTTTGGGTGAGTAACCAGGGTCAAGGGATAGAGAAATTTGAATGTTTGGTATAGAGAAAAACTATCTTGGTCCATACTACCCTGTTGCAAGGTTCTTACATTATATGTGAAGTGGTATAATAGTAACTCTAAGGATGCACATTGTAATATCTAAGTGAGGATGACACTGTAAGCTAAGGATGCATATTATCATCCCTAGAGCAACTACTGGAAAAAAAATACGAAGAGATAAAGCTGAAAAACGTAAATATGACCACGTTATACCTCTTTTAAATCCTTCAGTGGTTCTCTAACTCATGATGAATTTTAAATTTCTTAACATGACCTTCCTATAAATTCCTGCCTAGCTCTGCTGTAACCTGCTAAAGGCAAGTGAAAATTAATGAAGAGTTTTAAGATGAGTCATCTGGATTACACCAGAATTTTAAAAGGATAACACTGATAACAATGTATAACATAGAGCTGAAGAGAGATGGACAGCAAGGAGAATCAACAAGACAGGGATTGTCAGATAAGAGGTGATAAGGGCCTGAACAAGGGTAGTAGGGATGAGATTAAAAATAAGGGGATTGATTTAAAGGAAATTTCAGAGATGAAACTCACATAACTTACCACTTATGTTTGTGTGTGTTGGGGGAGTGATAAAGGCAAGGGATGAGTCAAGGATGATTCAGATGTTTCAACAGACAAGGAACACAGAAAGAAATCTTTTGGGGGTTAGATGAGATGTCTAGCTCGTAGCTGGAAATGTAGCTATAGAGCTTGGGAGAAAAGCCACAGCTTGAGAAGTAGACTCAGAAGTCTCTGGCAAATAGTGTAAGGCTGGTTAATTTAGAGCAAGAAAGTACAGACTTAGAAGAGTACCTAAAACAAGAGAAACAAACAAATAAATAAAGGAAAACATGACTGAGAAAGACCGGAGTCCTAATAACAACCATTAATTGAGTACATATTATGTGCAAGGCAGTAATGTTTTAAGCACTTACCATATACTATCTTGTTTAATTCCCCCCAAGCAAAAATATTACTATCCTCATTTTGAGATGGGAAAACTGAAGTTGAGAGAAGTTAAACAAGCTCCTCTATGGTTGCGCAGGAAGTAGACAGTGTAGCTAGGGTTAGAACATAGGATCACTGCCTCTAAAACCTAACTTAACCACTACCTGATTATGCTAATGATACTTTTAAATAATATTGCTGCTACTACTACTGGTGATAATGATAATAATGAAGAGGGCAGCCATTATTCACTGAGCATTCAAAATGTGCCAAACACTGCTGAACAATCTACATGTATTATCTCAAATGATTCCCAACAACCTGTGAGAGAAGTATGATTATTACGCCCAATTTTATAAATAAAAAATTGAAGCTTATAGAGACTAGTATTTCCCAACATCACAAAGCTAACAGGCAGCAATGCTGGGATTCAAATCTAGAAAGACAGAGGCATCTTATAACTTGGAAACAAGGTAAATAAAAAAACAAAACTTATGTAAACGGGTGGCTGAGAAAATCTGCAAAAAAACTTGAGTTTACGGAGATAAAAGTATATAAGCAAAATAGATAGAATCATCGAAAATATGATTTTTATAAAATACCTGACGTTTTAAAGAGATCAACTCCATGTCCAGTTGCCTCAGGATGGTGTTGGCTGCATTGGGGCTACAGGAAACAGCTACCACATCTTCCTGGGTTAAATACATGCCCTTAGGTGGACGGCACTTAGAACGCTGAGAATGATGGCGGTGTTGTAAACTCTGATATTCTCTCCTCCCAAGTCCAATCTTGCTAGTTTGGACAGGTTGGTCAGTATTACCCTGGAAGAATAAAGACAGAATAATAGGTCATTTGGTTTTTACAAATGTATAAACTGAAAACAGTCTATTACTAGTAGAAGCATCTGTTACACTAAGTACACCTACAAAATACTTCTAACCAATTATATTACATACGAGTCCAAATTCACACACACACAACAACTCATCAATTAGGAGGAAATGAGCATATACCATAACGTATCTTTGATTAATCCACTCAATAAAATGTTTGGTTTCTATGCCTAGAGGACTATGAACAAATGAAAAAATAAGGTGGACTCTAAACTATTTCTGTTTGCTTCAAGATTTCAAGATGGGATATATTTTCCCTCAGCAATAAAGGGGAGGGGGAAGCTATAACTTATTAAGTGCAAAGTTTTAAAGAAAGTTAAAAAAAGGGGCAAATTAGGAATCATGACAAGTGGCAAATTAGACAACTGGTAAAAAAGAGATAACATCTCATTCTCACTTTAGTGTTGGTGAAAGAGAACTATGCCTTCTAAAAATTAAAAAGGGCACAGGATTATTTTAATCCTAACAACATTTCTAAACTCCAAGTCTATTTATCTGTGAATAAAATGAAGTTCAAATTTGCATTTTGGAAGAGGATAGAAAAGTTCTAACAATGATCACCATGAACTCTTAAGGAGGATTTCATTATTACTTACAATATTCTTAAAGTGTGATGTAAAAATACAATGTTATTCTGTGCTTCTGAGACAGGAATCCATTAGAAACTTGTGTTCATTAGGCTGAAGGTTATTTCACTGAATAGACTTAATAATCCAATTCTTTAGAAAAGAAACTCCAAGAAAAGTCACAAAATAATTGTATAGTGAAGTATAATCCACCTTGTTGCTTAAAATGCAACTCAAAGCAACACATGGCAGATTTGATGTTCAGGGAAACTCCTCCCAGTATAGCACTTCTACAATTGCTAGATCAAGTATTTTTTTAAAAAATAAATTTATTTATTTTTGGCTGCATTGGGTTTTTGTTGCGTGCGGGCTTTCTCTAGTTGCGGTGAATGGGGGCTACTCTTTGTTGTGGTGCATGGGCTTCTCATTGTGGTGGCTCCTCTTGTTACGGAGCACGGGCTCTAGGCACGAGGGCTTCAGTAGTTGTGGTGCACAAGCTCAGTACTTATGGCTCATGGGCTCTAGAGCGCAGGCGCAGCAGTTGTGGCGCATGGGCTTGGTTGCTCCGTGGCATGTGGGATCTTCCTGGACCAGGGCTCGAACCCGTGTCCCCTGCATTGGCAGGTGGATATTTAACCACCGTGCCACTAGGGAAGTCCCTAGATCAAACATATTTTTTAAATCTTTTAAATTAATTTCTGAGCTGGCAGAGAGGTGAGGAAATCCCTCAGAGACCAGAAATGATGAGAAAGCAGGAAACCAGAGGGATAAGCAAGGATGCAGGAGCTGACATTTGCCTAGGCTTCAATGGACAACAGGTGCAGGGCACAGGAGATAAAGCCAGAACTCTGGAAGGGGACTCCATCATTGTGCAAAGTAGGAAAAGTGCCCCTGCCCTGCAGAGGGAGAAGATGATTAAAGAAAGTCATGCCTAATTCATCTTTGGCCGAAAGGAAAGGAAAGAAACCAAAAAGTCTTCCCTAAGAATCCCTAACCACAGGCCTATATTCAGGCAGGTTTGGGGACTAAATTTACAGGAATGTCTGGCCTGAAAAACTCCAAGTCGAAAATGTACTCTGAAGTGTCTCAGGTTGGTAGGGCCTTCAGACAGTTAGCAGAAGTAAAGGGAAACTATCCTCAGAAGAATGCACTGTAAAACCAGGTCTCAAAAATTTTCAACAAATATGTTCCAAGGAAAATGAGCTCACAACCACAGAGTGCCAAACAAGCCTCATGAGTGAAACACAGCAGAGAGCAAACAATAGAATTATATCTGCAAAGATGACAAATATTACAATTACTAGGTAAAGAGAATACAATACATGTGTTATATGTGTACAAAGAAATAAAAGAACTGAAAATATGGAATATTCTTATAAGAAGTGAGTCTATCAAAACTGACCAAGCAGATATGCAAAAGAACCAAATAGAACACCTAGAAATAAAAAATATTATAAATAAGATTAGAAACTCAATGGATGGGTTACTTAGCCGATCAGACAGAGCTCAAAAGAAAATTAGTGACTTCAAATGCACATATGAGAAAAATGCCCAAAACATAGTACAGAAGTATGGAAAGACAAAAGGATGGAAAATATGAGTGGTTAAGAGACATGTGAAAAGTCCATTACATTTCTAAAAGAATTCCCAAAAGAAAGAATAGAGAGAATGAGGGAGAATCTATATTCAAAGAGACAACAAATGAGAATTTTACAGAACTTAAGACAGGATTCAGAAAGTACAAATGAATCCGAAGCAAGTTTAAAAAAAGAAATCCATACCCAGATACATTAAAATGAAACTACAGAACACTAAAGACAAAGAAGAGATCATAAAAGCAGACAAAGAGAAAAGCTAAATTACCTCCAAAGGAATGGTAAATAGCCTGACAGCAGACTTCTCTAAAGCAATGACAGAAATCAGAAAGCAGTAGAATAATATCTTCAAATAATATCCGTCAACCTAGGAGTCTAACCCCAGCAAAACTAAGTGTTCAAGAACAAGGAAGGACATTTTGGACATTCCAAAACTGACTGTGTTTATAATCAATAGACTCTCACTAAATTAACCTGTAAAAGATACACTTTAGAAAAAAGAAAAATTATTTTCAAAGAAAGTTCTAAGATTCAAGAAAGAATGATAAGCAAAATTAATTTTAAGCATGTGAGTAAATCTAAACTAACCCCGACTATGTGTTTAATATGAGATACTTTAAAAAATAAGATGTAAGTAAAACTTGGCAAAAATAGCATATAAATCAAGAGGATAGTGGTTGAAGTCAAAGCAGCCTAAGGGTCTTATATTAATTAGAATCCCATTAAAAACACCAATATTAGGCTTTAAGTTAAATATGCAGGATAAAATTTTCAGAATACACAGTAAGAATAGAAATATAGAAACATTCCAGACTAGTAGACAGTTAAAAAAAAAAAATCAAACAAGAGATGGATTCTTAATCCAAAAAGAAGGCCATAAAGGAGGGGAAAGAAAACCAGAAAAAGCAAGTCAAATAGAAGGTAAAAATAAGAAAGAACAAAAATACAAATATCAATGATCATGACTGGTATATAGGAGCTAAACTCTCTAGATAAAATATAAAACCCAACCTATATGCTCCTGTAAGACACATACTTAAAATGTGAGGACACAGAAATGTTGAAAATAAGCAATAAAGATATACCAGGCAGGGCTTCCCTGGTGGCGCAGTCGTTGGGAGTCCACCTGCCGATGCAGGGGACACGGGTTCGTGCCCCAGTCCTGGAGGATCCCACAGGCAGCGGAGCGGCTGGGCCCGTAAGCCATGGCCGCTGAGCCTGTGCGTCCGGAGCCTGTGCTCCGCAACGGGAGAGCCCGCAACAGTGAGAGGCCCATGTACCGCAAAAAAAAAAAGATATACCAGGCAAACACTTAACAAAAGAAAGGTGATAACAGTTATATCAGACAAAATAATCTTGAAAAGTAGAAGACATCAAAAGAGATGAAAGGGTCATTACATATTGATAAAAGGTTCAATTCAACAAGATAAAACAATTTCTATACACCTAATAACAATAGTTTCAAAATATAAAAAGTATTATTTCTCAATAATCCATCAGATAAGCACATAAACACCCACTGAAACAACCCTAGCAAGTAGGCAAGCAGTAACAGAATATTGATTTCAAGCATATAACTGACAAGCTTCAATTAAGACACATAAAAAACCTGTAACCAATAATTAGAGTATGTATTACTCTCAAGCACACATGGAAAAACATTCATGAAAATTCGACATTCTAGACGTGGAGGTTTTAAAACATATCCTCAAATTCTTCAACATTCCAACCACTGAGAAGTGGGACTCTCTCCCATTCTCCTTGATTCTGGACCAACTTTAGTAACTCACTTAAAACCAACAGAATGCAGTAGATTTGGGGATGATTACTTTGGAGGCAACCAGCCATGGTCAGAAACCAAATTACTAAGGGACCACCAGGCTAGAGAGGAATGCTAGCTAACAGCTAGTATATCAACTACCAGTCATGTGAGCAAGTCAAAAACCTTTAATAACATCCTACTTGATGCTGAAACATAAAAATCATTCTCTCTAAAGTCAGGAATAAGATAAAAATATTTGCTATCATAACTTCATTCAACATTATACTGGTGATTCTAACCAGTTCAGTAAGGGAAGAAATAAAAGGTATTATAAGGACTGAAAAGAAATAAAACTGCTGTTATTTTCAGATAATATAAACCTCTATATAGGAAATGCAAACTAATCTACAAACAATTAAAGATTTCATTTCTCTCCAGTTTATATGTAGATTCAACGGAACATCAAGTAGCACTTTCCTACTTTGAAGTTTGAGAGCAAAAGTCCAAAAATAGCCAAGGACTTTCACCTTTAGAAGCACTACCAAGTAATGGGACTCATCCTAGCAGCTATCAAGACTTATTATAAAGTTATAGTAATCAAGACATTGTGTGACTGACAAGGGATATATAACTGACAAGAGAAGCAGACTAGAGAGCCATACATATATAGAAACCTCATCTATGATGAAGCTGACATGGCAGACCAGTTGAAAGAAATGAACTCGCTTCCATATTGGAAAACAAATAAATAAAAACGGGTCTCTATCTCACAACATAAACAAAACCTAATTACTGAAAGATCAAGGACTTAAATGTAAAAAACAAAACTTTAAAACTTAAAAATTTTATACATTGTCTTTAAGAAAAAGACAAAACCAAACCAATAGATAAAAAACAAACACAAATAAGCATTAAAAAAAGACACAATAATAGACAACAGATGGAAAAATAATCGGCCTTATTAGTAATCTCATGAATGAATTGAGAACACAATGAGATACCATTTCAGGTTATCAGATTTCTAACATCTTGAAAGTCTTACCACATAAAGTATTGGCAAGGAACTGGATAATGAGTACTCTCATAGCCCAACAGAAGTACATCAAATGTAGAAAATGATTTGCCATTACCTAGGAAAGTTAAACATGGTTATACCCTAAAATACAGTAATTCCACTCCAAACAATCCTAGGGTATTATTACTCACTAAGTCACTGCTGGCATTTTGGTGGAACAATCTGTGCTGTGCATTTCAGGAGAGCTGGCATCCCTTTCCCATTATATGCCAGTGGTGCCCATCAACCAAAAACACGTCCATAATTTTTAAATGCCCTTTATGTGAGTAATACTAAACCTAGCTGAGAACCACTGTCCCAAAGGAACTCTGATATATATGTATCCAGGGTATGTTCTTATCAGTATTGTTCATAATAATAAAAAGCTACAAATGATGTCCATTAATTAGAGAGTGGCTAAGTTGTAGCATATGCATGCAAGGGAACACTGTAATACAGCAATGAAAATGAACTGCAAAAACATGTTGGACAGCAACAAAAAAATGCGGGTAGCTGAACACATACAATATGGTTCCATTTAAATCAAGTCTGAAATGTACAAAACTAAATGTGAGTTGCTCAGAGATACATAACTTTGTGATAAAACTATAAAAAAGGGAGTGAATAATTGATAAATTTCAGGATAGATGTTCCCACTGGAAAGAAGGGAGAGGTGCAATAAGGAAAATATACACAAAGGACTTCTGTTTCTTGAGCTCAGTCATGGACACACTGGTGTTTGTTTTATTATTATTCTTTAAATTGTACATAGTCTATGGTGTGTATAGTTCATAATTTTTAAAAGTTAAAAATAAAAACCTTTCCATATAATGTGTCAACAACATGCAGAAGCAGCTATAAAGATGTGTTAAAGGCAATGATATAGTATCATTCCCTGAGTGGTGTCCCTATCATCTGTGAAAGAACAGAGAAATGAATGAAGCTGCTGACAAACAGTACGAGCCTCGGACCACAACCTTGCAGTATGTTTTTAACACTTTTTAACTTTTACTCCCCTCACTACATTTGCTAACAGGATGAGATCACAGGCCAACAAAAGACCAAATGTGTAAGTACCATCTCACATAGTTGGAAAAAACAGTATTCCACATACATACATTTCCTACATAACTAAACCCAAATCCCTAATCTCTCATATTTGTACAGTAATTAAGAATTCATAACATATATTCTCATCTGTTAAAATAAATTTGACTGAAAGCCTACTATCTACCAGGCCCTGTAGTTAAGACACAATTCTTGCTCTTTAAGAGCTTACCACCCAGGGATAGGTAGGCGGGTGAGGGGAAACCAGATGTAAACAAGTACCACTTAGCTCAATGAGTACTGCAATGGATTTAAAGAAAACTAAGGAGGTGGTCAATTCAACATAAGGCACAGGAGAGTTCATAGACAAGCTACATGTTGCAGAGTTATGAGGAATTTGCCTGGCAGATTTGAGAAGAAAGGAAATTCTAGAAAAAAAATGGACCAACAAAGAACAAAGGCTGGGGGAACTAAAACACTTACCTGAAACTCTCTTAGGAATGTGAAATAAGTGGGGTGGGGCAGGGAATGCCTAAATAGAAAGACTGTTTTATCCTATGGACAAAGCCACGGAAGGGCTGCAAACAGTAAATTTGGTTTTAAAAAGATTGCTTTGGCAGCAGGGTGAAGAATGGACTTGGAAGGTGTGGTGCAGAGTCTGGAGGCATGGAGATAAGGTAAATTAAGATAAGACAGAAAATGTCAGTAATTCAGAGAAGAGATGAGAACCTAAAAAAAGGCAGTCACCTAGAAAGACCAAAGAGAAAAGAACAAAATTTACAGTTATTTGAGAGAGAGAATTAAAAACGGTAATGACAAAATGAACAGAGTAATTGAGAAAAAGAAGTCACTAAAACTGAGACACAGTGGTTAAAAAGGTAGACAGGAATCAGAGAATGGTGTTAGAAAACTCAAAAAGAGATTTTCAGAAGAAGGGAGGGGTCAATAACTTGAAATAATACAGGAAGCACAAGGAGAGTACACTGAGAAACCAGTCCTCGGATGTGGCAGTTAGGAGGTCACTGCTGACCTATCAGCAGTTTCAGTGAAGTAAAGGGACAGAAGTCTGACTGAAGCAAACTCAAGTGAAGTCATGCTAAGGAGGATAATTCTTTCTAGACTGGTTGGGAGATAGTCATGCTTTTAAACGAAAGACTGGAGCTTACTTCTGGGCTGCAATGAAAAGGTTGAAAGTATGGCAAACAGAAGGTCCTAGAGGCAATATGAAGGGATAAGATAGGTCAAACAAGCAATGAAATTATACAGAACAAGGGGAGGGGCCTATCTTGAATGAGAGAGGCATTCAGCGCAGACTGTTCATTCAGTAATTTCATATTACTGAATTTGTGACATTTTAAAAATCTGATCCTATCAAGTACCAGCAAGGAAGTGGACAATGAGTACTATGTGAAGTGCTAGGGGATACCAGATGTTCCAGTGTTACTGAGGGCCTGACTTCAAAGAGTTCACAGCTTAGTGGGCAAAAGACAATAATTTTAGTATAACATCCTAAGTGTAAATATACTCAGATAAAAAGGCTAGTATGGTAGCACAGAGGAAGGGCTGGAATTTAAGGGTGTTCCTGCTTGATATTTTCTCCATGAAGTAGAAAGTGAAGTTATCTGCTAAGTTTTTTTAGGGGAGTGGAGAGGTGGTAGGTGATGTGTAGCAAAGGATGAATGTTCAAACAGTTGCTTACATAATAAATTTTATTCAAGATTTATTATGTACTGGGTACTGTAATAAGTGCTTTTATACATATTACCTCTTTGATTGTCAGAACCTTTTACTTTTACCAATGGAAAAAACTGAAAATTACAGGTTAAAAACTGAGAGGTGCTAAGGGCTACACTGAGATTGGAAACTACTTTTTGTAAGTAGCAACAATGTACATGATCCTGCAATTTTCTCCTGCTACACCAGACCAAGAATAGCAATTGATCCAGCATTGTGGGTTTATAGGGTTAGAGAAGGAATAGCAGAAGGGTGAGAGAAATGGGGAGTCAAAGATACTGGGAAGAGAGCAACTTAAGTAATTGGTCATTTGGTCTATGGTTTAGGGAAACAAGGAGACTCGGAAAAGAAATGAAGGAATCAAGGAATTTGAGAACATTTAGCAGTAGTAAGAAAATCAGTAAAATATCAAGTTAGGGGTAGGATTTATTAAATTTCATTGATGAAAGATGACAAGGGCCAGAATGGGCCATGGCATTGAGTTCCTTAAGAGGAGGAATGGGAGTCATATTGGATGAAGTCACATTCTCCAATTTTCAATGTTATTTTCACTATTCCACAGCTGCCAATACATCACAAGCCTTTACCCATCAACATTTGGTCTATTTTTTTACAATTATGTAATTCCTTGCCTTAATAAATGAGCATGCATATCAATTTAAAACTTTTCTTTTTAATGATTTTAAGTCATCGTTATTATCATTAAATTGAGGAATATGAGTGCTCTTCTAGTTGGGGATTCTTCCATCTCTTCCTTTGATGCAGCTTTCAATTTTCACTGCTGTCAGTATACCCGGTACTAATTAATAATTTGTTATAACATGGAATAAACTAAATGTTTTCCAAGAATATTCTACACCTAATATTGTATTATCTGAGGGTGGTTCTACTTCTTTTCTATGGATTAAAGAATAGGCATCAGGCTTCCCTAGTGGCGCAGTGGTTGAGAGTCCGCCTGCCGATGCAGGGGACACGGGTTCGTGCCCCGGTCCGGGAGGATCCCGCATGCCGCGGAGCGGCTGGGCCCGTGAGCCATGGCCGCTGAGCCTGTGTGAAGAATAGGCATCGTGGGGAGTTCCCAGGTGGCTTGGTGGTTAGGATTCCGGGTTTTCACTGCTGTGGCCTGGGTTCAATCCCTCGTCGGGGAAGTAAGATACCACAAGCTACTTGGGGCAGCCAGAAATAAAAAAAAAAAAAAAAAAAAATAGGCATGGGGACTTCCCCGGTGGCACAGTGGTTAAGAATCCGTCTGCCAATGCAGGGGACATGGGTTCGAGCCCTGGTCCAGGAAGATCCCACATGCCACAGAGCAACTAAGCCCGTGCACCACAACTACGGAGCCTGTGCTCTACAGCCCTCGAGCCACAACTACTGAAGCCCGTAAGCCTAGAGCCCGTGCTCTGCAACAAGAGAAGCCATTGCGATGAGAAGCCCACACACTGCAACAAAGAGGAGCCCCTGCTCACCGCAACTAGAGAAAGCCTGCGTGCAGCAACAAAGACCCAATGCAGCCATAAATAAATAAATAAATAAATTTATTAAAAAAAAAAAAAGAGTAGACATCGTAGCAGGGCTTTTATACTTCGGAGTGGATGAGATAACCCCAAAATTACTTAACTCACTGGCTAATTAGAGTTCTAGATGTTATCGTTTTCCCAAAAACCTCCAATTAACATTGAAATTTACTACCTTTTAACCCATTATATAAAAATGTTTTTCTTAATATGAAGTACTATTCGTTTTTTGGAGTGGATTTGTAGAACAATTATAAGCACCCTAATGATTATCATTACCTCTTTCTTGGCTTCTTTTTTGGGATCATAATCACTATCGTTTCCATCCATTGGGTGTGTTTCTTCCACATCATCATCACTGAGAAAAAACAAAGATTAATAAACTTAATTCACTTCCTTTCATTCTGTTCCAGTGCTCTCATCAAACTGCAATATACCTGGCTAATAATTTTACTAAATATTCCCCAGGAGTTGTCCTTGGGAAGATGAGCTTTTATAGTTTAGATTTCTGTAGTGTTTAGAAACATTTACCCTTTTAGGTATATAGAATCATTTAAGCAAACATTTCTAGCTAAAAACAGAGACCCAATAGGAAAGATATTTAGAAAGAAATATCATTTGGGAAAAAGAACACATTTATTAATTTGATATAATACTTATTTTCCAACTGGAGAACTGAAATAATAAGTTATTATATCAAATTAATAAATGTGTTCCAAGTGGAGAACTGAAAAAATGATCTTTTATACTACCAGAAAGATACAGCTATAATAATGTGGACCTCAGTTACTCAGATAACTGTGGAAAGACCATCTGTCAGAGAATATATTTCTTAATATATTCTAAATGTATGTATTGAATACATCAGTACTGAAAGGAAGCATTTGTGATTAGTTAAATACAACTCACATATAACTCAGTTGCAAGGTTTGCTGGCTATGATTAACAGTTAAAGAGTTGAAGAGAGTTCTTACTGTTAAGATTTCTGATCACTCAGTTCTCGTCAGAGTGGAAACATGAATGTAAGGATAAGAAGCATTTACACTGTATTGTGATAACTGTTCTGCCTTAGGAAATACAAGCAATACCGGTAACTACATAAAGGCATTCAACCCACCTGTCACCCTGATTATGTCTATTGGCTAGTTTACGAGCCTGGCGATCCATCAAGCTTGTCCTAGATCGAGTTTTTTTCCAGGAATAGTAATATTTCACAAGGCTAGCAATTGTCTTATCTGGAAGCTTGAAAAAAAAATCATGTTAATATCAAGCAAGTTTATTCATAAACTCTGATTAACAGAATGAAAAATATTTCTATTATTCTTTGATACTTAGCAAACAAAAGCATAGACAAAAAATATTTTCCCAGGTACCTTTATGAATTATAGAGCTAAAAAATGCAGCTGTAGTCATAGCACCCCACCACACCTATGTCACTCACATTTCTAAATAAATATTCCTATTTATTCTGAGCAGGGAAAGGAGAGATAAAATTAAAATGATAAATGATGCAAATAGACTTAAGCTACAAAATGACTAATGATCATGCACTGCTTTGTCATACTGGCAAACAAGCACACACACTTCCAATTAAAAATGTTCTCTTTGATTATGGAAGACACTTAGATATATTTGCAAATATTATCTAATTTCCATTCATTCAAGTTAAAAGAGTTTAATGTAGCAACTTCTCAGATTTATATTATTTTGACACAATACTAGAAATTTAACAACTAGAAATAGCTCTTCTTTAAATAAAAAAAAAGCAACAGCACCTGAACAATGTTGAAATAATACAGAATTTCTAAAAATTGGTTTTCATATCCAAAGGAATATAAATTTGAAAATGAAATCCTAATGTTAGAAAAATGAAACATTTAAAAATAAAATTGAAATTTTTTTCCTGAAATGACAGACGTATTTAATAACTCTATTAAACATATACTTAAGTCATAATAAATGTTAATTTATTACAATGAAATGACACATAATGATCATGCATTAGAATAGTAGAAAATAAGACTGTATGTAAAATATACTTATTTAAAAATATTTTTAAAAATTAAAATTAGATTGGAAAACTTTTTTGTTTTTAATAATTAGGAAGTGTTTAACAATAGAATAAGGTTATCACTCAGGTATGAATCACAGTAAGAGCAAAATTACCATACCATTTGCTGAATCCTGTGAAAGCTCTTCCCATGAAAACTAAAGGCTTGTTCAAATAGGACTTTATCTTCCACTGTCCACTCATCCGGAAAGGGAGTGAAATTAGGGAGATCAGCAAGGGACTTCTCAATGTTATGTTTATGCCAGAACAACATGCCAAGTGCCTTTGAAGAGAAATCATTCCCCTTTGGTTTTAATGGACTTATGTTCCATCACACTTAAGAGAGTTAAACACAAATTAGGTTAAAATCTTAAGCCTATGACTTCAACTGAAGATACACTCACAGTTTGGGGCTTTTAATCAGGGGTGCCCAGGTAGCAGACCTCATTTATTTATTTCTTTTAATCAGGGCCTCAGAACAGTAAATGTTCTTACATACCATATTTGCTGTAGAATCTAGAAAAAGTGAGCTGAGGAGAGTGGCTATAATTACTAAAGCAGGTTTGTAGGCTCATATCAAGACTTTCACTCACATTTATTCATTTGTCAATGTGTAGAGAAAAATATGCTAAAAGGAAAAATAACCTGTAAGTCAATACTTAAATGAAACTATCAATTATAACACAAAACTAGAAGTGCTCAGTCAAGACTCAGTAGAGAAATATTTATGTTTTAACCTGTTAGAAGTGTATCATGGGCTAAATACTTCTAAGAAGTAAGAGTACCTCAACTGCAACTTTAACAATATTTTACCACATATATTTTTTAATGTTCTTTATTATCATAATATACACAAAGAATTATTATGAGGCATATTAATAACTTCAATGACTTTATTACCAAATCATAGGAAAGCCTGAAATGGATAATTTCTAACAATTCAACAACTTTCCCTTCTATTGTAAGTAAGCGGTAGGTCTTTACCTTTACTATAAGGTACAGAGTATCATTTAGGGGATAAAGATTTATTTTTTAAGAAGAGATACAGCAACTTTTTAAATAGTGAGTTTTAAATTTCTGTACTTTGGTAATACTCCTTGAAAACGAAAATATGTATAGTCACATTTTGAAGGATTAACCTTCTCAAACAAATATTAAAACGCAAGCCGAGGCTTAAAAACAAAATACGTAATCGAAGTCTTCAAAATCCACAGAATAGTTAACTACATTTAGATAAACATCTCAGTTTCACTGAAATGACTTTCTATTATTTAATCATGTTACTAACTATAAAGTTAGCTCTTAATAATCCAGGTTACAGAAAATTCACTTACTTTATATTAATTCTGATAAAGGTTGATTTTTTACTTAGTCAAAATGAAATTTAAGAATTTCTATTTTACTCTTCCATGTTCTCCATTCCCTTATTACTAGGGATAATGAACCGTATGCCATATATATCTCTTTTTAAAGTTATCTAATTTTTTTTAAAGCCCTTTGTGAATGATTTCCTTCAAAATCTAAAAATCTTAAGTATTTCTTTAAATTAAAAGTTTAACTTTTAGGACTTTTAGGTTAAAAAGTCAAAGAGAATTACCTCTACTTAAAAATATTTTCCCTTTTTCTTGAGCATCTGCTAGAGTAATCCTGAAGGCTTTCAGATACTTGAAGAACTCAAAACAGATAAGAAACAGAGGTGTCGAGAGAAAAATGTTCAAGTCCTTGAGATAAATAATGTTTATAAAAGCAAAATCCTTGATGATGAGAGGTCAGACTTTGCTAGGACTTTTGTAGTATCTATAAAGTTGGTTGAACTTATGCAGTTTCTTAAGACAGAAACTATCATGAGATGTTCTTTGGATTTGATAAATACTGAGGCAAACTTTAATATTAAAATGTTTCTCTACATACCTGTTCCACATTGTAGCCATGTTTCTCCTTTGCAATTGCAATATATTCATCCACTGTAATGAAACAATGTTATATAATTAATTATTCTCATTTACTTCATTTGCCCGGTTGACTCTTTTTTTTTTAACAAAGCAAAATTTAAAAACAATTACACTCTAGGGGTAAAAAAATAGCCAAAGTCATTTTCCATGAAATACTATAAAAAAGACTTTCACTTCTATGACCAGGATCAGAAGTTCACTTGGTTTAAAATTTTACTTAGTATGAGTTATCTCTGTGACCATACAGCATCTACTTATTAAATTCACTGACATTACTATAATTATTTTTGTATTAAAAAAAAGACCAATCTGTGGTTAGCCAATAAAGCCTAATTACAGTATAAAATATTAGGTAACTTCTATTGCAGTCTTTATTTGAAGAGACAATTATTTAAGACCCCATCTCATGTTTAGAGTTTTCCCAAAGCTTTTACCTTCCCGTTTCTGATTACTGTATAAAGGATGGTTTATCTATAGTTTTGCCAACTATACATAATTACAATTTAAATATACTTCAGTATTCCTAAAATTTTCTTCAGCTCTTCCGGCTAGCTATACAAAAGATGTTTGAATATTCCATTTTTCTTCATCCTCAATTATTGTAATCAAGCCAGTAGAGTTGTTTAAATAAGCAGTTTCTATGATGATATATATACTGGCTATTTCAAGGCTTCATTGCTAAGAAATCTGCCACTTCACATTCAGCAGGACTCAGTTTTACGTGAAGTCCTTCTTGATCCTATATTTTATATATATATATAAATTCTTTAAGCACATTTTTGAGAAGCAGTGGTTGAGAATTCTGATCCTAGAACAGCTGGGCTACCTGGACTTGGTTCCCAGCCCTGTCACTTGTTTTTGGATTTTAGGCAATTAACTTGACCTTTATGTACCTTAGTTTCCTCACTATAAATAGTGATAAAAATAGTACTATATTTAATACTATTCCTCCTAGGATTAAATGAGCTAATATATGTAAAGTGCTTGAAACAGCATCTGGCCCATTTTAAGTACTTTCTAAGAGTTTGCTGTTATTAATATTACAGTACAGTTTAATATATAAATATGCTATTGTAACAATAATGCTGTTAAGATTAACTAATTTTTATGGATGTTATTATATCTCCCTAAGACTGGAAGCTTTTGATGAAGAAAATCCAAATATTATATTCTATTTAGAACCCATAGTACTTAAACATATGACAGGTCTAAACACATGCTGATTAACAAAAATGTCTTAGAGTCCTATAAATAGAAGGCTGAACAATACCAATCACCCTGTGGTTCTCAACCCTGGCTATGCATTAGAAGCAGTAGGGGAGCTTTAAAAAAGGAAGTCCTGGCTCCACCCCCAAGATTTCTGATTTAATCAGTTTGAGGTAGAGGCCAGACATCAACAGAATTTTTTTTAAAGTTCCCCTAAGTGATTCCAAGCACAGCCAGGGATGAAAGTCACTACCCTGTACCTTCAGTTGGATATTCCACATGGACACACCACTACCAGGACATGTTGGCTTTCTGAATTTTGTTTTCCATTTTGCTAAGAAATGCACCATTGTATAAAACAGTGCTAAAACAGCAAATGCCAATGACACCCTAATGCTCAGTTTGTGACTGAAAACCTCTGCCTATAATGAAGATTGAACCAAAAAACCTGATCGTCTCTTTCAGGTTTCTCAGTACACAAAATGTACAATTTTGTGTTTTCTGTTAAGAATACCTCAAGGGTATATAATTCCTAGGTTACCAGTTAGACTTTTTGCTGGTATTCTGAAGCTCTTAAATAGGAAGAATTATCAGGTATGCAGAATAATACCCCGTTTTCAATTTTTAGTTCTCTTACTGCATCAATAAGTATGACTAGACTTACTATGCACATGATATATAGGACATCATTAATTTTCATGAAACTAAATAAACCATCATGGGACATCTTTAAGATTTAGTAAATATTTTTAAAAGACAAGCTTATTTTACAGCCACTAGAATAGCTGTTCAGTGGTTTTTGTTTGTTTGTTTTAATAAATCAAATGATAACTGAATGGAGGGGTGGGGATCTTAGTTTTGTTACCTGCACGTTTCCTATATCTGATGTGCCGCAAAGGATCAGGTCCGCTACATCACATTGAAGTCTAAAGCCACACCATGATTCAAGAAGTGCATGGTCAATGATCCAGAAGGTCTCCGTCCAGAAATGGAGAGCACAAAGATGACCTGATTGATGGCTGCTGAAGTCAGTTCTTTCCCCTTTCCTCTTTAAAATGGTAATGATAGTGGGCTCTTGGAAGTTTGAAGGCATTTCTTTACAGCTTCATATACTGAGGAATAGCCTGTGCAGATGTCTACATAGTAACTCCCTCCCCTGCTTGAGGATTTAAGCAGCAATGCCATCAGATCCTAGGTTTTTTCAGTCTTCCTGGGCCTGACACAAATTGGAATGATCAACCCACTATCTTTCAAAAGGAAAAACATTCTAACATAACAAGCTCCATCAAAATAACAAAACAAAACAAAGACAAACTGATTTCTTATGAGAATCTAAGAGACTCAAAAACAAATATAAGTTGCATTTTGAATTGGTTGATAGATTCCCTATTGACATAAACATTCAATTTCAGAAAACTTACATTTGGCATCTGGGATACTGTGATATGGAGACCATACAAGCATTCCTCCATTGTCTTTATCGGTGTACTTTGTAGCACCTGGGGAAAAAATTAATTATTTTGAATATGATGAACTTTACATTCAAAATAAGTATAAACAAAGTAAGTTTTATTTCTATTTTAGTACAGTACCTGCAAAAGAGGACAAAGAAACAAAGTACAGGAAAACAAAGGAAGGAAAACAGATATACACTAAATATAGTAAATATACCACTTATAGATACCAACGAAATTTCACAAACACTGAAGCTTACCCTCTTTAAATTAAAAAGAAAGACTTTATTAAGTACATTTTATATCCCTACTTCTTAACGGGTAGTAAATCTGATTTAACCTTCTATACGTTACTTAGGAGTCATTAAAAACTCTGGCTTTAAAACTAGAGCAAATACCTCAGGTGATGAGTTAATTGTTTTGCCCATATCTAAATGGGCCAAGATCATTATAATTTTTAAATACCTGTATATGCTTTTTATGGTTTTTATTTAATCTTGTTCTCCTTGCTAGGAACCTGCCAGTTATTCCTTTTTAATTTCATTTATTACTTTTTATATTTATGAAAGTTTGTACTCTGTGTAAGAGGAAAACAAAGTCAAACCATGGAAAAGTTAATAATGCTATTTCTCCTTAATGTAATCTGAGTCTACCTCTAATCTAGAAGCATACTATTGCTGTTTCTAATTTTTTTTTTTTTTTTTTTTTTTTTTTTTTTTGCAGTACGGGGTCCTCTCACTGTCGTGGCCTCTCCCATTGCAGAGCACAGGCTCCGGACGCGCAGGCTCAGTGGCCATGGCTCACGGGCCCAGCCGCTCCGCGGCATGTGGGATCCTCCCGGACCGGGGCACAAACCTGTGTCCCCTGCATTGGCAGGCGTACTCTCAACCACTGCGCCACCAGGGAAGCCTGCTGTTTCTAATTTATTTCTAATCTGTTACAATCTAAAAAGTCAGAAAAATCAAGCTCTATTGAAACTGCATGTAAGTTAAGAATAGACAGAGGGGCTTCCCTCCCCTGCTGGCGCAGTGGTTAAGAATCTGCCTGCCAATGCAGGGAACACGGGTTCGAGCCCTGGTCTGGGAAGATCCCACAAGCCGCGGAGCGGCTGGGCCCGTGAGCCACAACTACTGAGCCTGCGCGTCTGGAGCCCGTGCTCCGCAACGGGAGAGGCCACGATAGCGAGAGGCCCGCGCATCGCGATGAAGAGTTGCCCCCGCTCGCCGCAACTAGAGAAAGCCCTCACACAGAAACGAAGACCCAACACAGCCAAAAATAAATATATAAATTAATTAATTTATATATATAAAAAAGATTTATTAAGAAATAAAAAAGAATAGACAGAATGAACGAAAGGCCTGACACAGCTATCCCAGAGCCAAGTAAATGCCAGTAGGTTCTGTCTTTAAATACTCGACGGTCCTTTTCTGGCTTCTTCCTACTTCTTAGGTGCATTCAAGTTAATTAAAACTATGAGCTGTTGTGGCCTCTCCCGTTACGGAGCACAGGCTCCGGACGCGCAGGCTCAGCGGAGAGGCCCGCGTACCGCAAAAAAAAACAAACAAAAAAACAAAAACAAAAACAAAAAAAAACCTAAGAGCTGTTGATAGCCACCAGCAACTAATGCCTAGAATTCCAAAATTACTCACAGAAAACATTAATATAATTCTGAGGTTAAACTGTAATCATTTATAAAGTTATAAGATATTCAGAATAAAGAATATTCACTTCCAGGGGTAAAAGTAACTACTATTATACTCCCAACTACAGACTTTGTCAAGCAATAATTTAATGTCATTCATCTGTTCTTTATTTTTGGAGAATCATAACACATCACTACTGTATATTCAATCAACAAATTTTAGTTAGAGAATGACACACTGTTAGTGCAATATGAAGCTAAAATTGTTAAGTTATGTATGTTTTACTATAAGGAAAAATTAGGTATGGAGAAAAAAGTATTGACACAATACTATAAAAGTATTAGAAAAAAGCATAATTACAAAATAAACCTAAAAGCAAAACATTGCATTTTGTCATAACTATCTTTAATAAGAGGATAAAAATAGGAGCTGAGAATTTAAGAAAATGCAAGTTAGGAGTATATTATCTAAAATTTATATTCAATAAAAATAAATTTTAAAAAACTTCTTTAAAAAATATTAAGATATATATTTAATTTTTAACCACATAAAATAAAAACACAAAAGCAAAATAGCTAAACCACTCAGTGGAAATAAAACAGACATCTAAGTTGATCAGAAGCCTTTATTTAATTAATAAAATCTATTGCTATTTCTAGTGAGTATCCTAAACTTCAATCCTTTAGTATGGGACTGATTCATTTTCACTATGGACTGTGACAAAGATAATTTAAATACTACTTAAAAGAACATGGAATGCAACAAAGAAAAGGCTTCCATTAAGTCTCAAGTCTTGATAGCATACATGCTTAATATTTAGACATATTTCCTTGCATCTGATTCTTGTATTACAGAAAATCTGAATTAAAATATTTTTACTAAATATCTCTTCTTAAACAGATATAAACTTTTTTTTTTGTATTCGTGCCCATGAAGAACAACAGTTAAGTTTCCTCAAAAATTCTTAGCACTGTAATTAAGGGCCCGATCTTCTGACAGAAACTGGCATCCAAACTGTGGAGACTAACAGCTCTTCTAATATGGGTGTATATATCTGGAGTATAGAGAATGCCTAATTAGGCATTTCACAATGTTCTTTCCCTGACTACTCTTGAATTGGGCTCCACCATTTTCAATCATATATGTGTCCCACTAGGACCAAAAGATGACTGATGTTTATAGGAAATGAGAGATAGCTTAGTATAATGGTTTAAAGTGTAACCACTTATAGAGCCAGACTTCAGGTTTGCATCCCAGCTCTGCCACTTCCTAGCTTTGTCACCTTGAGCAAATTTACTTAATCTGTCTCTGCGTCAGTTTAACCCATCTTTAAAAATAGGGATAATGAGAGCACCTTCTTCACAGAGTTGTTCAAAAATGAAGTGAATTCATATTTGTAAAGTACCTGGCATGTGGTAAGCACTACCTAAGACTTATGATTACTACTATATGCTTACTGAAGACAGTTCTTTAAGTTCCCTTCTTTCTGTACTCTGGAAAGGCTTCTTCTTACCTATCAATCAAATAAAAATATAAATGTATAAAATCTCATGGGGCTCTAACTCAAACGGCTGATGACCTCTCTTACCAATCCTTTGAAAATGAAACTGAATAGCTGAAATGACTTTTTTGTTTTACTGACAACTCAGACCTGATTCCTCTCCTATAAAAGAATAGGAGAAAGTAACTTGCATTATTAAAAACAATTTACCTCTCAGGATGATTTGCATTCAGTAAAGCTTTACCCTTTCCATCATAAAAGTTGAAGTAAACCAAAATATTTAAAGGACACAAAAACACAATTTTTATTTTGCTTTTATCTATAACAATGTTTAAGATTATACCTCAAAACTGTCTGATATTCAGAAATAATACTGAGAATCCAATTTGACTCAGCAACAAAATAACCAAGGCCTTAGAAGTAGCCTATCTTCTGAATGGATCAAAAATAAACAAACCAAAACTCAGACAGCAAGCAACCACAATTTTAAAAGACTATAGTAGCTCAACAGCTATGAAAATAAAACTATTGAGCAATCAGTTTTTTTAAGTATTAAATGAAACAAAAGTTCAAGCCTTCTGAAAACTTTTAGATCTCCTTAACTGCAGTTGGTAAAATACGTTTATAAGACCAATTTGGGGAAAACCAACAACAAAAGTATAATTTTGATTAGGATTTCTATACAATAGCAAGTTTCAAAGTAAGTACAAAAATATAAATCTTCTATTTCTTTGACGATTTCCTTTAAGACATTCCAACTAAGGATTTTGATGGAAATCATGGAACAAATATTCTATATAAAGAACTTAAATATTGAGATCAGTAAGACACTCCAAATATTTTAAAAATATACTTAATTCACCAATTTCAAACCAAGGTAAACAAAGACATTCCAAGCAGTACACAAGCATTAATAAGTTTTCTGGGAATCAATTTTCAGGACTTCAAACTTCCCTATGTTTTCTTTCCCAAGACAATCTGCCTGAGAAATCACCTGCAGTCTAAGCTGTACACTTATTCTACTTCTGACCTCCTTCTTCACAAACACCCTTCCCTCACTTTAAAAAAAAAAAGGCAGGTCTCTCATCCATCCCAAATCTTACAAGAGTACACTGCCTAAAATTTAAAAACCTCTATGATGCCAAACGAACATCAGCAAAGCTCTCTTTTACTCAAGGCACCATGACTATTACAGTTTTAATTAATTACACATTAATTATAATAACTCAAGCCAGAAGAGATTTAACACTTAGAACCTTATGTTCACAAGAATACATACTATGACGGTAGAGAAATTGGATAGGTGATCAATAAAGCACTTTCAAGCACAAAAATGTATTATAAAATTCTGTGAGGAAAATGCATGGAAATGATTTCAAAAACAAAAGGAACAATGTTAGGAGACTGTTCATATATTTTATAAAATAGATACTACCACATTACTATCGTATTTACATTTAATTGGATGCATTTAAAATAAGTATATAACAACTTTATTTCAAAGTGTTAACATTTTCAGTACACTGGAGATTACATTTTTCAACTAATAAACTCAGTGACAAATAACAGATGTCAACTTAAAAATATGTGAATCTGTTTTTCCAAATTTCTTCTACGAGTATGCAGGCAAAATATTTTGAATGCCACTGCTTCATATACATGAATTTTTACTTAATCTTGTCATATAGTTAAGAGTATCTCCCTTTTACAAATGAGAAAACTAAGGCTTGGACACATCAGGTACCCAGTTCATCCAAGGTCACTATGCCATAGTGGCTAAAAGGCATATGAATAAGAGGTAAGACTCTTAATCACCACACAAAACTCCTCCTCGTGACGTAAGCATAGTCAGTAGGCACTAAATAAAAGTTGGGGAGGGCCTAGCAAAGAATCAAAAGGAAAAGAGTCACCTAAAAAAGAATCAAAAATCCGCTTAGTAAATTTTTATAACGGCATTCTTAGCAATGGTCCATCAATTAACATAAACTGTTCCTAATCTCCTAACTTCAGTAATTCCAATTTAAATCTCAGTTCTTCTCATATTTTGTACAATACTCATTTTAATAATTCATTCTTTCTGTGCTTAATTTCTATCATCTCCTCCAATAAAAATAACCTCCACAAAAAAATCCTCTTAATTTTCCTACATTGTGATCATCATAATCTTGATACCTCAGGAATTTTTCTTCCAAATGACTTGGATGGCTATGGGTGGGCAATCTTCATGAAGACAGACTGAGTGGTTTATGAGACTAAATAGTATGAAGAAGAGAAAAGGAGAGGAGCTGACCATTTCTCAATTTCTATCATTAATTAATAAACATCTTTTCCTCTTTATCTCTTCCAAAGAAATATGTTTAAGTTCTCACCCAATGATATTGATTGACGTGGAGTAAAAACTTCACACACCACCACAACACTTAGAATAAGATAGAGCAGTGGTACTATGTTGAATGGCATACAGGCTCAAAATTTCCTTGTAAAAGGTGTCTAATAATTGATAATCTACATTTGCTTGACAAGATTTGCCTATAACAACTATAGAAAAGCCCACCTAAGTTTAAATGATAACTGGTTTTAGTTGTGTCCTTGGGTTCAATATTCTGCAGATTATTAAGGAGAAAGTGAATACAGGCATGACTCGTTTTATTGTGCTTCACAGATATGTCGATCAAGTCTATCGGCACCATTTTTCCAATAGCATTTGCTCATTTCATGTGTGTGTCACATTTTGGTAATTCTTGCAATATTTCAAACTTTTTCATTATTGTTACATTGTTATGGTGATCTGCAATCTTGGATGTTACTATTGCAGTAAATGGTTAGAATTTTTTAGCAATAAAGTACTTTTTAATTAAGGTATGTACATTGCATTTTTAGACCTAATGCTATTGAACACTTTTATATGCACTGGGAAAACTATAATTCGTGTAACTTGCTTTATTGTGACATTTGCTTTATTGCAATGGTCTAGAACCAAACCTGCAATTATTTCTGAGGCATACTTGTAGATGAAATTAAAGAATATCATATTTGTCCTTATTCTAATAAAAAGTATCAACTATAGTCTGAGTAAATTATTGAGAATATAACTTTAAAAATTGTAATATTTGTGATTTTTCCCTCAAATATTCTACTTAGACAAATATTCTTAGACAAAATGTAACGTAAATTGGATAATACAAATAGTGGCCATGTGAAACCACATAAAAAGTATTCTGTGCTTTCAATGAATTATTTTTCAAACTTTGAAATTTGTTCTAGTTATTTGTTTGCTTGAAATTTTTTCCAAAAGTTGCTACAGTGATCAGGCTATGGCATGCATAAATTTGGTCTAGCATGAAGTCTGGGTCTTAAATACAAGATCCTAATCAACTTGTGTACAGTTGTCTATGAAATATAAACCTATCTAATGGGGAAAAAAGACAGGTATGCTTATTACGCTGCTGAGTTCTAATGTGGAAATAAGTTTATTCTAGAAAAAGCAGGATACCAATGAAAGCCCCAAATCAGAAAGGAATAAATGTATGCAGAATCATTCTTCACAATTATGAAATTTAATCTTCATTGAGTAACTGCCATTTGTCCACTCACACAACCTTGGCAAGAATTCCCCTAAGTATTTTTGTTTCCATTTTACAGCTAGAGAAACTGAGGTTTAGGGAGGGCCAGTGACTTGCTCAGGGCACAAAAATAAGACATGAGTGATTAATTCAGTCTGTCTTAAGCCAGAGCAAGCACTTTCCAAATGTCAAGCTAAAACCTGAGGTAGCACTGTAATATGAAAGCGCCATGCACCCACTAGCTACATTAATAAAGAAAATTAGTTTCACAACAGTTAAAATTATTTGAAGCCCTCCAGCACACACACTGATAGCTTTTGAATAAAATGTATCAAAGCCATGTGATTTAGAAGGCAGCTTTTGAATAAAATGTATCAAAGCCATGTCATTTAGAAGGCAACTCTGATCTAGTGAGCACTCTTGTATCATTGTTTTTACGTGTTGAAAAATAGCCTGCACTGACAATCCTTTTAACACACATTATTTTACCCTCTCCCTTGGGACAAGAAAAGCTGTCTAAACCCTAAAAATCTTTAAATGGTTGGTAAATATCACTTTGCATTGCAGTAATGGGCAGGAGAGGAATGAAAATACCCACCGAGACCCTATAATCAAATAAACATGCTATTTCCCCCCCAAGAAATACAAGTAAGCCCTATTAATATCTAATATAGAATTCGAGAGTCTGACAGAGACACATTACTATACGCGGGCAATGGGCAAAAACAAGAAGCGAGGGGGTGGGGAAGCCCCTTCAAAGTCTGCCCAAAGCCTGTACTGAAGAGGGTCTGTGGTGGGCTGGGGGGAGAAGGAAACACGCTCCACTCCGAGAGGCTCCAACAAGGGCGCCTCCATATGCGGAACTCTCGCCCAATCCCCGTCCAGGCTGAAATCCCGTGACCGCCAGAGAGCCTGTTTGGAGAAAAGTAGACAGGGAGCCCGCAAGCTGGGTTGGCAGAGGACGCTGGAACCTGGCTGCTAGGGGAGAAAATGTCTCCTTGGCAGCTGCAGTCACTGTCCTGTGGTCTGACTTCCCAGGGCTGGCTCTGGAGCGAGGTGTGCCTCTGGCTTCTCCCCACCCTCTTCCCCCAATCCCATTCGCTCCGCGGCTCCTACACTCCGCAAAGCTGTCGCCACCAAAGCTACACCACCTAGCCAAAAAGAAAGAAAAAAGAAAATCCCGTGTGTGCGCGGGTTGGGCAGGGCTCGCCCTCGGCTTCGGCCGGTGACAGCAGCCCGGGGATCGCCGCCCTGGCAGAGCGCGGGCCTCCGCTCCCGGGGGCCGGTGGTGTGGCAACTGACATTTGCATGGTTCTTCCACACACAGCCCGCACACCCTCTCCTCTAGCTCTCGGCCCCGCAGCCGCTCCACCCCCGGCCTCCGACCCCCGAATCCGCCGAGGGGCCGTCTTCCTCCGTTCACCCTGGGCTCAAGCGGTAGAAAGGTGATGCCACCAGCGGGCAAGTGGCCTCCAAAGGAACCATGTTAACCTTGCAATGCACACATCTGCCCACACGCCCTGTGTCACAGCCCTGCCAAGCGTGACAGCCTCCCCGCCAAAGATGCCTGTCCATCCCAGCCCCACATCTCCTCCCAACCGCACACCCGGACCCCAACCCCACCCGCCCGCCCGCTACCCCTTCCACCCTAAACCAATCCCAGAAAAGGGGAGACAGGATTTTGCTTAAGCAAACAGATCTACCTGGATCAAATTCAGGGATCCGAGCTTGGTATTCAGCTCCGACTCTCATCCCAACATCTGCAAAGCAAGGTCAAAAAAGAAAAAAAGAAAAAGGCGTGGGGGCAGAAAAAGAAAGAAAAAAGAAAAAGGAAGAGACACTTAATAAAATATGAAAATTGCTGAAGGGAGGAAAGAAGCGGCGGGTGGATGGGAAGATATTAACTCCGGGCACTCCGGGAGATGGCAGCGGATGGGGGCGGGGAGCTGGGGGGGGGGCGAGGGCGGAGGATTGGGCGAGGGCGGAGGGACGGGGGTCGCGGCGGGTGCTGCTGCACTGCACCGGGAGTTCGAGGCTACCGCAGCGCCCGGGCTCCGAGGGGAGAGAGGGCGGGAGCGCGGCGAGGGGAGGGGGCTGGGGGAGGGGAGGAGGGAGGGGGGCAGGCGGGCTGGCTGGGAGGAGTTCGAGGCTACCACCGTGCTCGTCGTCGCTGCTGCAGCCGCTCTCGGGCTCCGAGAAGTGCAGCCCGCCGTTGGTGGACGAGGCGCCGCTGCCACCGCCGCCCGCCGGGCTCTTGGCGCTGCCGTTGGCCGATCGGTTCTTCCCCAGTACCTCGGGCCCTTTCTCCATCATGCCGGGCATGGTAGAAGAGGGGAGGGGGAAAGGTGAGGAGAAGAGGTAGGCGTCAGGGTGAAGGGGGAGATGGCTTACGAGCGCGGGCGGGAGGGAAAGGAGGAGGAGGAGGAGACGGCGGTGGCGGCGGAGGAGGAGGAGGGTGTTAATATGGAGCCGCCATAACCGCCCCGGTCCGGCAGTAGCGCAGTCGCCTCACAACAACCCGCCCCGGCCCCGCCTCTCTCCCCTCCTCCTCCGCCCGCCGGCCGCCCCGCGCAGTCCCCGGCGCCCCTCTCGGCCGCGCCGCGCTCTACGGCGCCGCCGGTATCACTCCGCCCCGCAGGGAGGTTCCGGCCGCCGGGCGGGGGAGGCCAGGAGGGGCGCCGGGGAAGAGGGGGAGGGGAGGGGAAGCCCCGCTTGCCGACGGACCGGGCAACCCCAACCGAGCGCTAATAAAATCGCCGTAGAGGCGCGGCCGCCTCTCGGGCTTCCTTTCTAGGGGCCGCTTCGGAGCGCGGGCGGAGGCGCACGCGAGGCATCCGGACTCTTTGCCCTATCTGGGCGGAAGGAACGCGGCCGGCCTGAGAAAGGGCCTGGTGAGACCCTAGGCGCCCGAGTTCTGGGAGCGGCCCCCTTTTTTTCTGGGGGGTTGCGCGGCGCGATGTCAGGACAGGCCTCGGCAGGAGCGCGGCCCTCTTGAGATGCTGCGGAGGACCGGCTGCCCAGTTTCATGGCTTCTCCAACAGCGTCGAGCTAGGGTCGTGCGCTTGCCCGCGGTGGAGTCGGGCGGAGTAACAGGGCGGTCTTCGGGTCCCGAGGCCCAGGTGGCCGGAGAAGTAGGCTCGATCCTAACCATCCAGACGCTGCAGTTTTGTTTCTGATCCTCAGAACTGGGGCCTGATTCCCTGGAGAGACTGAGGCTTCCGAGATGAGTTTCCAGTGCCGAGCAATACAGCTGTATATAGCTAAAAGGTGGTTGTTTTTGTTGGGTTTTTTTGGTAACCTTTCTCCTCCGTTTCCCTTCTCTTACCTTTTTTTTTTTTTTTTTTTTTTTTTTTTTTTTTTTTTTAGGGGAGTGGGTGCTGTCAGTTGTTAAATAAAATTAGGACAGGGTCCTTGCCCTGTTGGCGTTTTCTCAGTGCGCCTGACCTGCGGTCGAGCCTTGGAGCAGAACTCTGGAGAGGGCGGAGGCCCGGAGTGGAGGTGAGGCCAGAGCTGCAGTCTGGCAGGGTTTCCAGCCTGGCAGGCGATGCGCTCTGTAATGCTTTCCTGAATTTCATTAGGCAGGAGTAGGAACTGCATTTTTCGTTCACCAGATTTGAGGACGTCTGCTCTGCGCCAGGCTGCCTGGCATTGGGGGCTACTTAGGATTTTCTTCTTTTTTTATTTTTTTGGGGTTTTGGTTTTTTTAAATTTTGCTCACCAGTAAGTAGAAGTGAGGACTTGTTGTGAACATCTAGTATGCAGATGTATGCAGAGTGGTATTTGGGGTCCACAGTAAGGTAGTCTTCAAACACTTAAAAATAAAGATTGTCCTGGAAGATTTCTATAGTAGGTAAATGCAGAATGGATCGAACCAAAAATAAGCCTCTCTGGCCAGAAAATAGTTCACTGAAAGAAACAACATCCCTAAAGCAGGAATGTCTAAATCAGGAATTGAGCCAAGAAAAGCCTGGGAAGTAAGTATTTGACAGCGTCTCAGTCTAAAGGGGAAGGTCTCCTGAGCAGGTACAAAACCTATCTGGTTCTGGTAGTGGAGGTAATTTCATCTCTATCAAAACCTGATATGATGCCATTAAATATTTGAATCATAAAACTAAACCTTTTATTCCTTACCAAATACAGTTCGGAATATTATTTTAATTCCCATATAATTTTTCTACAAGGAATGTCTTCGCCGAATGAAATGAATAGTCGTTTCCCTTGACAGTTATATTTTTCATTGTGAATTAACACTTTGGTATTTTGGTTTTCATACACAAGTTCTAATGATCATGATTCAGCATCTCTGGTCATGTAACACAAAGGCCAGACGCAGAACTGAGTGAATTCACAAAGATAAATGTCACTCTGAGGCTGCTTGGCCAGCCAGCTTTCTGACACCCCAACTTTGCAACACCTTCCAGCCACTTCTCTACAGAAAGGAATTTTCATATATAGATCAGGACCAAAACATTGTGAAAGTTTGGGGACTTCTGTAAATTTTATTTATTAGTAAAACCCTTAAAGTGAGAAGATTTCACGATTTTCTTGAGTATAGCAAAGAAGGCAGAGCAGGCCAGACTGCATTCTACTCGGATGAAGAAGGGGTCTTGGGGTATGGCATTTTAAAAAAAAAAGGCAGGAAAGCAAGTTTCTGTTTTGCACCTGAAGAAAAGGGTTCTGAAAAATAATAATAGGCCTCAAAATGGTATCCCAACAGTGAACAAGGACAGTATAGAAAGAGAAAAGTTTTAAGAAAATTTGGGGGATGTCTGTAAGGGGTTAGAGGAAGAAAAGAATCTGGACAAGGAAGAAGCAAGCATTAAAAAGGGTTAATAATATCTAAGGATGCAGAGTCATGAGAGGGGTTTAAGAAAAGTCCTTTGGATTTGTTAACTAGAAGGATGTTGATTATTTTGTTTGGCTGCTTTTTTATTGTATTAAAATTTTCTAATATTTTCATTATATTTTAAGCTTGGAACAGACAGTACATTTTCATAGTTACAAAATCAAAATGTATAAGAATTTATAATTCACTCTTGTGCTAGACCTCCCAGCGACTGTAAAAAGGCAAGGTAGAAATATATAAGGGTTAGAAAGAAATATGTAAACCCGTTATTTGGAGAAAGGGTGATAGTCTCTATATAAAATTATAATAATTTATAAACCATTTAGTATTAATAATGAATTTAGCAAGTTGATACAGTCAGTATGTAAAGATCAGTTATATTTTATGTACCAGCACTAAACAATTAGAAAATGAATTTTTTAAAAAGTGATACCATATACAAATGCACCAAAAATATTGAATACCTAGTGTATTCGTTTCCTGTGGCAGCTGTAGCAAATTACCACAAACTTGGTAGCTTAAAATGAATTCATCCTCTCACAGTTCTAGAAACCAAAAGTCTGAAATCAAGGTGTCAGCAGGGCCACGCTCCCTCCAGAGGCTTTAGGGGAGAATCTGCTCCTTGCCTTTTCCAGTTTTTGGTGTCTGCTGGCCTTCCTTGGCTTGAGGCCACAATCACTCCAACCTCTGCCTCCATCTTCTCATTGCCTTCTCCTCTGTGTGTGTCTTGAATTTCCCTTTTTCTTTATTATGTAAAGACACTACTGGCATTTACGGCCCATCTGGATAGTCCAGGATTATCTCCTGTCTCAAGATCCTTAATCATATGTGTAAAGATGCTTCTTCCAAATAAGAAAACATTTTACAGTTTCTGGGGATTAAGACCTAATGTCTTTGGGGCACCATCCCACCCATTGCACCTAGGAATAAATTTTTTTTTTTTTTTTAGCGGTACGCGGGCCTCTCACTGTTGTGGCCTCTCCCATTGCGGAGCACAGGCTCTGGACGCACAGGCTCAGCGGCCATGGCTTACGGGCCCAGCCGCTCCGCGGCCTGTGGGATCCTCCCGGACCGGGGCACGAACCCGTGTTCCCTGCATCGGCAGGCGGACTCTCAACCACTGCGCCACCAGGGAAACCCTAGGAATAAATTTTAATGAAAGAGGTACAAGAACTCTGTACTGAAAATTGTGTTATTGAGAGAAATTAGAGAAGACCCAAGTAGCTGGACAGATATTCAATGCTCATGGATCAGAAGACTTAATATTGTAAAAATGTCAGTTCTCCCAAATGATCTATAGGTTCAGTCTAATCCCTACTAGAATCCCAGCAGATTTTGTGTGTGTGTCTGTGTAAATTGACAAGCTGACCCTAAAATGTATATGGAAAGTCAGAAGATCAAGAACAGCCAAGACAATCTGGAAGAACAAAGTTAGGGGATTTATACTACCAGATGTTAGAAAGTAGACCGATGGACCTGAATAGGGTTCCCAAAGAGATGCTTATGTGAACATTTTACTTATGCAAAAGTTGTAAATAGATTGTGGACCTAAATGTAAAAGATAAAATAATAGTGTCTCTAGAAAATACTTAACGAATATATATAGCAGCCTATATACATGCTTAGAGGATGGGGTGTCAGACTCTGAGATGAAAGGGAGACTTTATCTCTTGTGTGTCCTGTTCACGGTTGGACTCTTTTACCATGTGTATGTATTACTGTTCTGAGGAAATAAATATTTAAAGAATCACTTAATAGACAAAACACAGGTAAATATAGTTAAAAAAACAATATTAAGACAATGTAACAAAGTAAACAAAGTAATGTTACAGTTATTAGAAGCTGGGAAGTAGAATGGAAGAGGAAAGATGGAAAGGCGATAGGGGTTTTATCCTCATTTTACAAAAGGAAAAAAATTTAAGCATGGTGATGATTGTGGGCTACACCTTGATTCGCCAACTACAATAGGCACACAGGAAGGACCTCCACAGAAGTCCTGTTTTATTCATTTCCAGGTTCATAGTGAGTGTCTTTATGATACCACTTTTGCTGAAGAGTTTATTGATTTGCTCTTTGGTTCTCCTTTATTTTTACTTTAGCAGTGCCTGTCTTGGAATAAGTTTAACTCCAAGACAGAGTCAGGCAGCATGGCCAGGAGACTACCCACCATTAAGCCACTTATGTTGGACCAGGTCTGGTGGGGACAGTCCACACATGTTTTCAACAGGAAGGAGGAGCTGTGTGGTTTTGTTTTGTTTTTTAGAGCCCCTGATCCCCAGGTGGGGTGGGGTGGGGGGAAATCATACCTTAAGAGCTGAAAGAAACTTCAGAGTTCTGGTAACCCACTTTCTCTTAACCCCCTGGAATATTTACCGTTTCTGAAGCTAGTCTTACAGCCTCCGTTTAAACAGATACAGAGATAGGTAACTGCATCACAAAGTAGATCATTTCATTTTTTTAAAGATGTCTAGGTCTTAGAAAATATCTTTTTTTTTTTTTTGGCACTCAAAGCTCAACTACATATAAGAGAAACCCCAAATAACAGTGTCAAACAAAATGAAAATTTATTTCTTTTCATGTAAAAGGGATCCAGAAGTTGAAACTCCTTGGCTGAAATAACAACTGCCATGAAGGTGTCAGGCACCCAGGCTTCTTCTCTCTTACCCCTCCTCCATTCCTGGAGTGTCACTTTTGCCCTTATGATCCAAAGTGGCTGCTAGAGGACAGTCATCATGATCACACTCCTCACAGCAGGATAGAGGAAGAAATGCAGGAGGGCACACCCCTTCTCTTTAAGGAGATTTTCTGGAAGTACCATATACCATTTATGCTGATATATCAATGTTCAGAACTTAGTCACATGGCCCACTAACCTCAAAGGAGGCTGGGAAATGTCAAAGTGCTCTGCTAAGAATCAAGGCTCTGTGGCTAAGGATGAAGGGAAAAATGAGTACTGAAAGGCAGCTAGCAAGCTCTGTCACATGGGTCCTTTAAATATTTGAAAACAGCAATCATGTCCCACTTCAGCTTCTCTTTTAGGGTAAACATCATCATTCTCTTTGACAAATCGACAGTGATACTGTTTTCAGACCCTTCACCTCTTCAACTGTCCTATTAACATGCTCTAGTTTGTGTTGAATACTTAGAATAAGACACCCCCCACGACAGTGTGAGATCTAATTGCTACAAAATCAATTTGAAATATTTTGACCCCTTTTCTTTGCACCATATTTTTATTAATCCATCCTAAAATTAGCTTTCTTGGCAACAACTGCACATGGTTACTAAATCTAGAATCAACTGCATCCTCCAGGCTTTTACATTTGTTAGTGTTTCGCCTGGTCTCTCCCCACTTAGACTCCAGTAGATTTTTTATTTTCCTTTTTTCCCCCCCACTCCCCTCCCTCCTCACTAAATGAGTTTAAATGTATTGCCATTTAATTTCACCTGGCTTGTTTTAGCTTACCTGAAACTTTTGAGAACTTTTTGAATTCTGACTTTCTTACCCAACATACTAAATGACTTGGCTGTGGGCATTTCTACCTGTGATAAATGAAATTTATCTTTAAGGTCAGGAACAGTGTCTTAATTTATATTCTCAGCATTGGGTACAATGCTTATGCATAGTAGATGTTTGTTTAAGGAATGAATTACGCAGTTAGACATAAAGAGCATTTTCTGGAAGAATTTTTTTTTAAGTTCTGGAATTGTTTGTGAAAGAAGACTATGAAATCTTCCTGTCTTTAAAAATAATATAGACTTTTATCTGGGAGAATTATATTTAAATGTGTATACAGTCTTTTAAAAGTAGGCAGGCGATTTAAACAATTTTGCTAAACTTCTAAATCATACAAATATGAGTTTATAATGATTTGTTTGGCTAAATTTTTTAAAAAAAGAAAAAGACTAGACAGTGAAAAGTTTAAAGTTTACATTTTAATTCTGCCCCGATACAGAATATACCAACTCATTCATTTCTTTCCCTTGGTTTCACAAATTATAAAAGAGAATTCACAAATCAATTTTTCTTGCTTAAAAAAGGTGTTTGCAAGAATATTCATTAGGGACTTCCCTGGTGGTGCAGTGGTTAAGAATCTGCCTGCCAATGCAGGGGACATGGGTTCTAGCCCTGGTCTGGGAAGATCTCACATGCCGTGAAGCAACTAAGCACGCAAGCCACAACTACTGAGCCCATGTGCCACAACTATGAAAGCCCTCGCGCCTACAGCCCGTGCTCTGCAACAAGAGAAGCTACTGCAGCAAAGAGTAGCCCCTGCTTGCCACAACTAGAGAAAGCCCACGTGCAGCAATGAAGACCCAACGCAGCCAAATATATATATATATATATTCATTAAAACCAGTCTATAGGGAACTATAGAATCCAAATTGTGAGGTAATCTGAAGATCCAGGGATAAGATTAGATGTGTCAACCTCTGAAACGAATACAAACTAACATTAAATTGACTTGTGAAAGTAACTTGAAAATGTTTCAGAAACATGCTGCTCATGAGATTAGGGGCTCCTAAAATAAATTCTGGGAGATTGGAGATAGTAATCTAAATATAATGTATAGAATAATCTATAAATTTGGCACTTAGACATTGACAAAAACACAGTCATTGGCACATAGTAAATATTCAGATGTTAATTATTATTATTAAATATAGAGATTAGAAGTAAAATCAAAGCTTCTCCAGAACTGACCAAGGAGATGGCACCCCAAATATATACAATGGTCTCTTTTTTGGATAGAAATATTCCTAGAGATAACTATACAAAGAAAGAGGTTCCCTAAAGAATCTCGATTTATTAGGATATAAACAGGATTTTTAAAAAGTAACTGTTAAAAAGTCCCCCTTTCCCTCTGGATACAGGGTTTCTTAGCTACATCTTCATCTAATTCCATTACTTTTGGTTATCAGAGTAATGCAGTTCTATTTAACATAGGCCAAATTTGTGGGGTTTGCAGTGGGTATGGGACCCTCCCCCCTGTCATCCCCCAGCCCTTTGAAGTGGGTCCAGGGAAGAAGAAGAATGGAGGCAGATTGTCTTCTTACTTCACTATTCTTAGGGTGATAACCTTCACTCTGTCATTACTGCTGCTTCTCTAACACTTGCTGGTTATGGCAGTTCCAAATTCTGGGGGTGTTTTTGTTGGTCTTCAAAAGGCCTTTACCAGGATAGGGGGCTGGGGGCGGGGTTGGGATGAACTGGGAGGTTGGGGTTGACATATATACACTAATATGTATAAAATAGATAACTAATAAGAACCTGCTGTATAAAAACTAAATAAAATTCAAAAATAAAATTCAAAAATAAAATAAAATTCAAAAATAAAAAACAAAATAAATCCCCCTCCGCCTCAAAAAAGGCTTTTACCTCCTCACTGTCCCTCCACTGTCCCTTACTGTGGATGACTCACCTTACTGGTCTGTAACCCTCACCTGGTGGGCAGCCCTCTTAAATGGAGTACTGAAAACATGGTAAATATAAAATTTATAGTAATGGGAGTTATTAATTGAGACAGTTATTAGAAATTATTACTTCTGAGCCATGAATTGCATTTTGAAACTAAAGTGTTTTAATTATAAGATATTTAAGCCTCTGTGAAGCATCCAACATTTTATAATTTGAGATGTAATGATAATGGGTAGGATGAATTAAATTGTGAAGAAAAATCCTACCTTTGTTTCCAACATTTAATTTTATATATGATTTAAGCTAAGAATACTGCAAGGAGATGGATTATAAACAGAATGAATATATGCCAGTGTGAAAACCAGGACTTAATACTATTAATAAATACTATTGTATTAGAACTTGAGAAAGGCTTCTCTACGAAGAAGCAACAGGAAACAGTCAATTTTAGGGACCTCAGCATATAAAATAAAGGCTTGTTGCTATGAAGTCTCTGTCTCTTTCTGCCTCCCCACACACACACCCCTCATTTCTCATCTCTCAGCTCTATTCTCTCTCTGTTTACCTTCATTCTTTGTTACTGCAAGCAGCCACTCCCAGACAGGAACTTCCTTTAAGCTCATTAAATAGCAAGGAGTGCAGGAGAAACATGGTATTTTTCTAGACCAGTGGCTTTCAAACCTTTTGTTACCCACTGCAGTACGTATTATATTGTCAACCCAATACAGACATATAAATGTGTATCAGTCAGCTATTTGTAATAAAACAGCCAGAACATCTTAGGGATATACAAGAGCAAGCATTTCTTTCACTCAGTTGTGTGTTGGTTAGGGTCAGCTGATCTATGCTGGACTCAGCTGGGTGTCATGGCTGATCTTGGCAGGGCTTGCTCATGGGTCTGTGGGTTGGTGGGTGGTTAGCTGATATAAACTGATCCTGGCTGGTGGGGTCTAGCTTGGGTGGTTCTGCCCCATGTGTCTCTCATCCTATTATTGATTCTCGTGGACTAGCCTGAGCATATTTTTCTTATGGAAATGGCAGAGGTGCAAAATTGTAAGCCCAGTTGCACAAATATTCTTCAAACCTTTGATCATGTCACATCTAACATTCCACTGGCTAGAGCAAGCCAATGGCAAGCCCTAAGTCAAGGACAGAAAAGTATACTCACGGAGATAAGGGGAATGAATATTTTTAAACAATAACCTATATAAATATAACTGAATCAAAAGTTCCATAAAACAATTCTTAGCAAGTAGTTTGGGTCAAGATCTGTAGTTTGAAAAACCGTTTTCTAGAGGCATGTTGATTCAAACATACGTGATCTATGTCTTAGAAGTGTAATTTGAACACCAAACTGAGTTAATTCTGACAATTCTCTCTCCAGCCTCACTTGACTGGGGTAGGATGTTGGTGTGGGGACATAGTGAGATTTGCATTCTTGTCACTCCAATCAGTATTACTCGATGTGTAGTCCACAAACAAGCTAGTCCACTGACGGGTGCCAGTCCACAAACTGTTCATTACTAGACCGTAACCATAGTGAGGTAAGGTTCCAGAATATAAACGAACACACTGTTTATTTCATTGAGAAAAATCTTACTTAAAAAAAAAAAAGTCCGCTGAATGAAACTGCGTGCTTATTGGTGTAGTTGCTTTACACTTTGATCAAACCTCCTTATCTCAATCTCTGGTCAGTAACAAACAGTTCACAGACCAGCATTACCCAAGGAAGACCCAGAATCTTCTAAACAGGAATCTCCATGAAATAGTTATCTTGTGTATCTGAGTCAAAGAAGGGATGTTTTGGAAAAGTAGATTCTTAAGCGTTTCATAAATATTGTAGGGGAAGAAACCAGTAATGAGAAAGGAGCTGAAGAAACAAGAGCAGAGAGAGATTAACTGATGGAGCAAAACGTTGAAGAATGAAGGAGTGACAAGGACAAGGTGGTCTTGACCAAGAGGCAGTACACCTCATCCTCCTAAAAAGGAGATACTGATAGGTAAGTCTCTAGGAGAGGGTGCTGGACATTTGGGGTATTTCATGCCTGAAGGTATCATTGTTGTCTATGAATTAAGGGTCAAGATCATCTGCTGAGATGGCATCTTGTTACTGCCGTTTTGGAATTGGGGGGATTTGAATTAAACTCAATTGATTTAAAATCCTAGTAAGGATTTTGTTCCACTTTATTCTATTTACTTTATAAACATTCATTTTCCTATTTAACCTAAAGGGTTTTTTTTTCTCACAACCTGTGCATTTTAAATAAATTTCTTTTTTTTTTTTCCACATCAGAAACTGCTTTTTATACATTTTGTACACGGATCACTTTGGAACCAAGCATGTTTCCTCCAGTTGGTTTCAATGAATGGCAATGCCACATCACATGCTACACTAGCTCAGGATGAGAATTTTCTAATAAACTTTTTCTGATACTTTTTCTCCTTCCTTTCATATCACCCAAAGATCCACCCCAATCTGAAGGAAGAGAAGGGCTGGATGAGCCCTAAGTTTCTTGGGGGAAATCCAAGTTGATATGTCCCCTCTTTGCAAGGAGATGGGGCAGGGAGAGCGAGTTCTAGCCCCCAAAGAAAGGACTAACAATCAGTAAACATGCTGCTCCATCCTTCTTATGAGGCCCGCCTGCCCTTGAAAGGGAAGTATACGCTTAACCCACAGGTGTTCTGCAACATGGAGGTGGCTCACGCTGTTTCTTGCAACAGAGCGCGCTGTGTTCTTCCGAGCTCCTCCGCCCACCCCTTACCACCAGCGGTAGTGGGCCCGCGCGCGGTTAGCCTCGGCCGTCTTGTGCGTGTCGTGCTTTCTGTTTATCACAGCCCCGCTTGTGAAAAGCCTCCAGCAGCTCCCGAGACAGCTTCTCCGGCATCAGCATCCGCCGGAGCTTCATTCTCCCTACATGCAGTAATCATCCACTTCATGGCCAGGAAGTGGCGACGCTGGTCGGCTAGCGGCACAGGGACCTGATAGAAATGGCCACCCTTGAGCATGGGTACCAGCCCAATCACAGGCTCACAGTTTTTCAGTGCTTGTTGGAAGATGGTTTAAGGGTTGCGTTCAGTGGTTGCCTGTTCTTCTGCAGAAGCAGCGTGGTACTTCTCAAACTGCTTCCTTTTCACAGTTTCCAGAGTCTGCGTCATGAGGGATCTGGCCAGTATTTTGTTTCCTCCTTTCATCGTCATGTTGGTGAATTTACTGATCACTGGGTCTTCAAACACAGAGCTTGTTTTCGTCGCTGGAGCAGCTTTGATAACGGGAGTCTTCCTGAGCTCCCGCTCATGCTTTTCCTCCTCATTCAGCTCGGCCGAGGGCTTGCGGTAATATGCCTTGGCAATCTGGGGGTCCTGGTATTCAGGACCATAGCGGCTCCACCTCACCTGGGTCAGCCCTGGAAGCCGCAGGACAACACTCCGCACGCCCAGCAGCAAGCCCGACCATCCTTGTGCAGCCTTCACCGCGGCGGCAGCCAACTTGGCTGGCCAATAAATTTCTTTTCCTCAATATTTTGTTATGAGAATCATCAAACATACAGAAATGTAGAAAGAATTATACAGGGAGAATTAATTTACCTACCACCTGGATTCTACAATTTATTTTTATGTTATGTCAATCTCAGTTTGAGGCCAATTTGGAAATGGGGTTTGCCTGGTGGTGCAGTGGTTGAGAGTCTGCCTGCCGATGCAGGGGACATGGGTTCGTGCCCCGGTCCGGGAAGATCCCACACGCCGCGGAGCGGCTGGGCCCGTGAGCCATGGCCGCTGAGCCTGCGCATCCGGAGCCTGTGCTCTGCAACGGGAGAGGCCACAACAGTGAGAGGTCCGCGTACCGCCAAAAAACAAACAAACAAAAACAATTTGGAAATGGAATGGTTATTATTTTGTTTACCGAAGTTAGTAAATACTAGTGAAGACTCTGGGAAAGGAATCATTTCTAATTCAACAGGTCAAGTATGAATGTTCTTGGCTTCTGTTTTGATCAGGGTTCTTCAGAGAAGATGGATCTATCTATCATCTATCTATTTATCTATCCATCTATCTATCATATGTATATTGGCTCTTGTGATTATGGAGGCTGGAAAGTCCCAAGATCTGCAGGGTGAGTTGGCAAGCTGGAGACCCAGGAGGGCAGATGGTGTAGTTCTAGTCCAAAGAGCCAATGATTCAGCTCAAGTCTGAAGGCAGGAAAAATGCTGATGTACCAGTTCAAAGGCCATCAAACAGTAGGAATTCTCTCACTTAGAAGAAGTTCAGTGTTTTTGTTCTATTCAGGTCTTCAACTGATTGGATGAGACCCACCCACCTTGGGGAGAGCAATCTGCTCTACTCAGGCTAAGGATTTAAGTGTTAATCTCATCCAAAAACACCTTCACAGAAACACCCAAAATAATGTTTGATCAAGTATCTGGGCACCCTGTGGACCAGTCAAGTTGACACATGAAATTAACCATCACAGCCTCTTTATGCTATGTATACTAAGGAGAACAGTATTCATCCCCAACCTACCTCTCAGGTTGCTCCTTCCCCACCCTCCCAGAGGAAAAATCATTGTAACACTCTTGTTTCTGGAAGATATGGCATATTTACTTTGTAAGTTTTGTGAACCCACCACTGAATATCCTTAGGGGTTTAACACCTCACTGTGAATAATACTATTTTAAACAAGTCTTATGTAATTGTGTATTTTTTTCTCTACAAACACATATAAAACTATTTTCAATTTCTGTGGAATGGAATAAAATATAAATATACGTGCAATTATTTTAACCAACCAAATGTTTTAAATTTTTAACTATTATAAAGCAAACGCTGTGTTTTAAGGTGTTAAGTTGTTAGGTTTTCAGACTAACTCAGTCTTCATATTTTTCTTCCTATTTATTAATAAACCAGAAATGGCTTTCCTGGTTCTTAACTTTTTTTCTACTTTTTCACAATTTCTTAGTTTGAAGGAGCAAGTAAGTCACAAACTACATTCAGTGAATCTAGAGTCTTTAAAATTCATTTCTTCATTATTCCACAAACATTTATCTATCATAATTTTGAGCTTCTGCTGTACAATGAAGTGAATCAACTACATGTATACCTATATCTCCTCCCTCTTGGACCTTCCTCCCACCCCTGCATCCCACCCATCTAGGTCATCAGAGAGCACGGAGCTGAGCTCCCTGTGCTATATGGTAGGTTCCCACTAGCTATCTATTTTACACATGGTAGTGTATTTATGTCAAACGTCATCTCCCAATTAGTCCCACCCACCCCTTTCCCCCCAGGTCCACATGTCCATTCCCTACGTCTACATCTCTATTCCTGCCCTACAAACAGGTTCATCTGTACCATTTTTCTAAATTCCACATATACACATTAATATACGATATTTGTTTTTCTGTTTCTGACTTACTTCACTCTGTATGACAGACTCTAGGCCCATCCACATCTCCACAAATGACCCAGTTTTGTTCCTTTTCATGGCTGAGTAATATTCCGTTGCATATATGTACGACATCTTCTTTATCCATTCATTTTTGGGACATTTAGGTTGTTTTCATGTCCTGGCTATTGTAAATAGTCCTGCAATGAACAATGGGGTACATGTGTCCTTTTGAATTATGGTTTTCTCAGGGTATATGCCCAGGAGTGGGATTGCTGGGTCATTATGGTAGGTCTATTTTTAGTTTTTTAAGGAAACTCCATACTGTTCTCCATAGTGGCTGTATCAATTTACGTTCCCACCAACAGTGCAAAAGGGTTCACTTTTCTCCACACCCTCTCCAGCATTTATTGTTTATAGATTTTTTTTGATGGTGGCCATTCTGACCAGTGTGAGGTGTTACCTCATTGTAGTTTTGATTTGCATTTCATGTGCCTCTTGGCCACCTGTATGTCTTCTTTGGTGAAATGTCTATTTAGGTCTTCTGCCCATTTTTTAATTGGGTTGTGTGGTTTTTTGATATTGAGCTCCATGAGCTGTTTGTATATTTTGGAGATTAACCCTTTGTCTGTTGCTTCATTTGCAAATATTTTCTCCCATTCTGAGGGTTGTCTTTTCATCTTATTTATGGTTTCCTTTGCTGTGCAAAAGCTTTTAAGTTTTATTAGGTCCCATTTATTTTTGTTTTTATTTTCATTACTCTAGGATGTGGTTCAAAAAAGATATTGCTGTGGTTTATGTCAAAGAGTGTTTTTCCTGTCCAGGCTTACATTTAGGTCTTTAATCCATTTGGAGTTTATTTTTGTGCATGGTGTTAGGAAGTGTTCTAATTTCATTCTTTCACATGTAGCTGTCCAGTTTTCCCAGCACCACTTATTGAAGAGGCTGTCTTTTCTCCATTGTATGTTCTTGCCTCCTTTGTTATAAATTAGGTGACCATATGTGTGTGGGTTTATCTCTGGGCTTTCTATCCTGTACCATTGATCTATATTTCTGTTTTTGTGCCAGTACCATACTGTCTTGATTACTGTAGCTTTGTAATATATTCTGAAGTCAGGGAGCTTGATTCCTCCAACTCTTGTCTTTCTTTCTCAAGATTGCTTTGTAGACCTGGTCTCTAGTGATGGAGTCTGTGAGTGCACAAGGACGTTAAATACAGGCAGAGGGCCACACTAGGATGAGCTTCAGTAGCTATGGAAACATGGAGGGGGGATCCTATAAGACTTTCTGTAGGACCTGATGTCTGAATTGAGTCCTGAAGAACAAGCACTAGACAGCCAGATGGAATAAATAGAAGGGAGTATTGGGCAAGAGAGGAACAGCATGTGCAAAGGCCCAGGACCTCCATCTTTGGGTTATTCTAGTCCATCTTTTCTGTGTTTTTAATCTCTGTCTTTCCATTTGGCCCCTTTTCCATGTCTTATAAACATGTTAATGTTTCTTATATTCAAAAGCAATGCAAAAAATAATCCCTCCCTCAACATTGTGTCCTCCTCAGGCTACTGTTCTATCTTCCTCTTTCTCAATGTAGGCATGCTCCTTGAAGGAATATAGGACCTACCTCAAGTCCCTTACCTCCCGTTCCATCTTTAACCTGAGGACACAGGAGACCTTCATGGAAAAGAGGGGAGGGTTACAAGTAAAAGAACAAATGG